GCGCTGATACGGCGCGGGGGAGGGGGCGGAACGGGGGGGGGTGCGGTGCCGAAATAAAGTGGTCGGGGCGGAGGGGGCACTGGGCGGGCGCTGGAGCCGCGGGGGGGCGCTGAGACGGCGCGGGGGAGGGGGCGGAGCGGGGAGGGGGGGTGCGGTGCCGAAATAAAGTGGTCGGGGCGGAGGGGGCACTGGGCGGGCGCTGGAGCCGCGCGGGGGCGCTGAGACGGCGCGGGGGAGGGGGCGGAGCGGGGAGGGGGGATGCGGTGCCTAAATGGAGTGGTCGGGGCGGAGGAGGCACTGTGCGGGCGCTGGAGCCGCGGGGGGGCGCTGAGACGGCGCGGGGGAGGGGGCGGAGCGGGGGGGGGTGCGGTGCCGAAATAAAGTGGTCGAGGCGGAGGGGGCACTGGGCGGGCGCTGGAGCCGCGGGGGGGCGCTGGGACGGCGCGGGGGAGGAGGCGGAGCGGGGGGGGGTGCGGTGCCGAAATAAAGTGGTCGGGGCGGAGGGGGCACTGGGCGGGCGCTGGAGCCGCGGGAGGGCGTTGAGACGGAGGGGGCGCATGATGATGATGTGGATGATGATGATGATGATGATGATGTTGGTGTTTATGGGGAGGATGATGTGGTGATGATGATGATGATGATGTGATGTTTTGATGTTTGATGTTGATGAGATGTTGATGGTGGGGGGTGGGGGGGGCGGGTGCGAAATAAAGTGGTCGGAGCTCTAGACACCCTGTGCAAGAGAATAAGCTAAGCTAAGATGAGATAAGCAACGCTAAGCTAAGGGAACGTCACTGGGGGAACCGCGGAGCGGATGCTGGGGGAACCGCCCGGGGCGAGTTGCATTGCCCGGCCCTTTAAGCATACCGAGTAAGAACCCTTCTAGGCAGAGCCTAGGTATGGAAAAAAGTCAAGAATTCGTATGGGCAGGATGTCTCTAGTAGCTGTGGCTATGCTTGAACATGTTTTGACTATCTATTTGTTCTGCCAAAATCTGCCTGTAGGAGGATATGTCCGACCTAACGTCAATGAAGATGCTTCCTTTTCCAACTGCAGCTTTCTCGGGCTGGCCAGGAGGAGTTCAAGCTGGCGCAGACCTTCCTGGCCGAGACGTCCGAGGCGGGGCAGGGCGTCCTCCTGGACGCCTCCTGCGGCTCGGGGCTCTTCTCGAGGCGCTCCTCTTCTTCCTCCTCCTTTCTCCCCCCCCCCTTCTCCCCTTTCCTCCTCCTTGCTGCCTCCTCTGCCTCCTCATCCCTCGTCCCTCCTCCTCCTCCTCCCTCCTCCCTCCTGCTCTGCTTCCGCAAGAAAGAGGGGGAGGATAAGGAGGTGGAGGAGGAGGAGGAGGAGGAGGAGGAGGAAGAGGGGGAGGAGAACGAGAGGAACCCCAGAGGGTTGCTTTGCCTTGCCTTCTCCTGCTCCTTCCTCCTTCCCTCCCTCCCTCCCTCCTGTCCTCTCCCTCCCGCCCAGACGTTGTCCTCCTCCGCCTCCTCCTCTCCTGCTCTCTCTCCTCCTCCTTCATCCTCCTCCTCCTGCTCCTCCCTCTCCCCTCCCCCTTCCCCCCCCCTCCCCCCCCCTTCCTCCTTCCTTCTTCATTCCACCCTGCCTCTTTTCCTCCTCCTCCTCCTCCTCCTCCTCTTCCTCTCCCTCTCGCACCCCTTCCTCCTCATCACCCTCCGACCCTCCGTTCCCTCCCCTCCCTCCATTTACTCTTTGCGCTCCTAGCCTCCATCCAGCCCTTTTGCTCCTCTTCTCCGCCTCCCCATCTTTTCTCAAGGAGTGGCGAGGCGTTTGCCCATAAGCACACCAAGACATGTTCTAAGAACCGTTGTGCTATGCACAACATGATTTCATAACATTTCTGGCAGGGGGCGTTTCGTTTTAGCACATCTGCTTCATGTTATAAGAGCAGTGCTCCTGTTGTCATACGAGCATTCTCTTGTTCCGAGAACACTCCGTGGTAGGCCCTTCGGAGTGCCGACGGTCGGTCCATGCTCAATATCCCTTGCCCCGCCCGTCTTCGAGGCGCTTCGCCTCCTCCGGCGCCTACGGCTCCGTGGTGGCGCTGGACTTCAGCGCGTCGATGCTGCGCCAGGTCCCCGGCCGGGTGGCCCCGCTTCCCCTTGGCGCCCGTGCCACGATTCGGGGCTCCTCCGCCGTGGGCCAGAACTCAGCCTCGTCGGCTGCGTGTGAGCGTCCTGCTGCCCGGGCCCGCTCGACGCGGAACTCCTCCACGTCTGAGTGCTCTTCCCTCCCCCCTCCCTCCGCGCGGCCGCCCCTGTCCCTGTCCCTCTCTGGCCTGCCGGCCACTTGGCCGTTCGGTTGCCCCGAATTGCCACACGCTGGAGCGGACCGCCTCTGCTGCGGGCAATAGTTCTATCCAGATCCAGGGCGCCTTGGACTTTCGTGGAAGGGGCGCCGCAGGGCCGAGGCGCACTGGATATGGATACAAGTCGAGGATATGGATACAAGTCGGGCCTCCAGTAGGGGCCTGATTTTTATCCATATCCAGTGCTCCTTGGCTTTCTGGAGAAGGGAGCCCGAACCCCCAGCTGCAGTGGACGAGGACACAAGTTTTGCCCGCATCTGCCCCGTCGCCGACGGAAGAAGTGAGAGTCCTGCGTGGAGGAAACGGGTCCTGGGGGAAGCGGGCCCCGGGATTCCTCGCCGGTTTTTCGGGCTCACGGGGCCTTCCAGGGGCCTCTCGGGCCAGACGAAAGGGGGGGATTGAGAAAGGGGGGGTTACGAAATTTGCTGCATGAAGCTGGTTTCGGCCCCACCGAGGGGCCCATTCCTCGATACGTAGCCACCTCCGGCGCTGGGAGGCGCCGTGAAAAGCAGCTACGTGAGCTGATTCTCAACCCCCCCCTTTGCTATCCCCCCCTTTCGCCCGGCCCGAGCCTCGGGAGCCGCAGACACCGGCTCGGGGCGAAGACCCGGGCCTGGGGGACGGCCCCACCCGGAGGTCTGGGATGAAGTCGGGCCTGTCCTTCTTCAGGAGGAAGATTCAAAAATAATCAAGAACTAGTCGGGGGAGTATTTGGGGGGTATCTTAGACCATTTTGGGAGTATTTTTGGGGGTATTTTTGTTTTTCGTCCGAATCCCCCTGTAAGGGGACAGGCCCGACTGAAGTCTAGGATCCGTTGCCTTCCTGCCAAAGGAGTGTGACCCTTCGCCGAAGCGGGCTCTGGTGCGGGCCCGCAGGTGTCCTCAGGGGGGCAACTGCAGCCCCAAGGGGGGGGGAAGGGACAGGCTCGGGGTGGACGCATCGGCCCCCAATGTTGAAACCGGCACTCTGCACTATTTCTTTGGGGAAGTTGTGAGAAGCAGCACAAGGACTGTAAACGCTCGGAAACGTTCGCGACTGGAAGCTTCAGGCACGAATCGCGAGATATGGGAGTGAAGGGGCGCCGAAGGCAGGATCAGGAAGGCAAAGTCGCGCGGAAGAGCGAGATCGAGCTCGCCCGTTCGTCGCCGACAAGGGCCAGCTGGCCCACTCCGCCCAGGAGTTGGCGGTGACGCCCTCGGGGTCTCACCCTTCGCACCGTGGGCTTGCACTCCCGCCACCCGCCTGCTGCCGCGCACGCACTGCCAGAGGGCTCCTCCCCTTGGGACGTGGACCCCAGACGGGGTAGGAAGCCCTGGTCTTCGGGGAGCTCACGTCGCGAGGAAGCTTGGCCCAAGTTCTGCAAAGGCCTCCATCCCGAGAGACTGGGGGTGACCGTGGGCTTGGACGGCACCGTCTGCCCGTGGGTCGTCGAGCGGCGGTGGGTGTAGACACAGACCCTCCCGCCCAGGGGCCACACCTGCGTGTCGCCGAGCCTCGCGGCCGCACCGCGCCCGCGGTGGGGCTTTTCCTTCAGGCGCGTGGCGTCTGGGCAACCTTTGGGCCGTCGGCGTGGGCGGAGCCCCCCCCCCCCCCCGGCGAGTGTCATGGGGCCTCGAGTGGAGGACCAGGGGGCCCGGCGACAGCGGCAGTCGGAGGGGCCCGCTGCGTACATCACGTCGTTTCGTCGGCCCAGGAGCCAAGGAGTTCGGCGAAGAGGCTTGCTGTATACAGACGCTCCAGCATTCCACAGCTCTTTGGCCGACCAGACGACGGGGTGTGTACGCGGGGCGCTCCAGAGAAGGGCCTCGCCTTCTAGGGTCGAAGAACTTGGCACCTCTTTCTCTGCAGAAGGCGGCGGAAGGGCGGAGGAAACCGGCTGAAGCAAAAGATGCGCCCCAAAGAGATGGCACCTGTTTTTGTTCATGGTTCCCAGAACCAGCCACATCGAGCCCCTTGCAAGCACGTCACAGGAGGCACATACATCAATTGATTTGGACCCCCGGACAGTGGCTGTGTGTATTGACCGGGAGGTGCAATCTGGGCGCCGCAGTCAATTCTACCTGCGCCGCGTGTTGCCGCCAGTTCCTTTGTTCGAACAGATCTCCCTGCCACCCACCCACAATTGTTTGGAACGACTGAACTGGTGACTCGGGCGAGTGTTGATGATGTTGATGATGACGATGATGATGTTGGTGATGATGATGATGATGACGACGCTGATGATAATGGCGCTGATGACGATGGTCGCGAGTACGGCGATGATGGTCACTTACGGTGTTGAGGTTGTCAACGACAATGGTGATTGTGATAATGAAGATGAATGTAATGACGGTTGCAGTGATGGTGCTGGCGATGTTGTTGGCAACAGTGTCGATGAAGAGAAAGAGGAATCGCGCGCGAGCGGATACACATACACACACATATATTAATCTGGTGTAGATATATTATATATATATATATTATATATTTATATATTGCATTTGTCGGTTGATTTAGTAATGTAATATTGTCATAATGTTATGGGTGAATACATTATGTTCCAAAAGTGCTTGAAGGAATGCTTTAACAAATAAAAATAAGGATCGAACACCAATCGTGTCGAAAGGATCTCGACGTGCGTGCTCTGAGGCGCGCGCGCGTGCAGTCCGAATTGTTCTATTTGACTAAGCTGGCGGATACACGATGGTGAATATGTTCGGCATGCGCGCGCGTGCTGCCCGCATGGCCTCATTCCACAGGACGGCCACACTGCTTTCTTCTGACTTCAGCGACTGCGCGCTCAGAGATGTGGCAAGGTTTGGTTGAACGAGCAATGTTTTTTTAGCTGTCGGAGAGGTATACCCTTAAATCGGGCCTGCCCCTCTACAGGAGGGATATTCAAAACTCGTCAAAAATAGTCTAAGGACTATTGCTCATTATCTTTTATTTTTGTTGGTTTTCAGTATTTTCTGACTATTTGTTTGACTATGTTGTTTGACTATTTTATTTTGTGACTATTTGTTTGACTACTTTGGAGTATGTTTTGACTAGTTTTCATTGTTCCTCCAAAATCCCCCTGTATGGGGGACAGGCCCGGCTTGAGTAGACCCCGAAGCAGTTCCACTGCCAGTGGCGTTTTTGACTTGGGTCGGCTTGCGCGCGCGGTGGCGTGCGCATGCGGCCTCTGACAAAGCACGCTTGTCAGGAGGGGGAAAACACACACAAACACAATTCATCGTCGATTCCCCAGAAAATATGGGAAAATATGGGAAGTGGGGGGGAAGACAAAAACCCAGAACATATGGGAAAATATGGGGAATATTTTTATTTGTGTGTATTTATTTGTGTGTCCCAGGGCCCCTTCAACTTGATTGATCAGCGCGTGAGCACCGCTCTGTACTGTTTGGCTGGGGCGATGAGGTACCGATAGCGCGTCGGCTAACGCAGGATTGCTCAACCTCTTAAACGAATGGCCGCGCAGCCATGAAGATACAGTGCGCGGGGGCGAGGAGCCTTGCCTCGGGGAGTGGGCAACTTGCAGTTCGTGCCAGGCATAGACATCCACGCAGCGTAGAATCCGTGAGGTCAATCTATGCGCAGCAGTCAGATTTTAGGAGCCCGGTACCTCCAGTTCCAGTGCTCGAGCAACAATGTTTCACCCACCCGCATGCGCTTGCCAACATCCGTCTGGCGCAGATCCTTATCATCATGCAGATCCATTGCCCGAGCAGGCGAATGGTGATGGCGACGACGACGACGGCGATGACAATGATGATGATGATGATGATGATGATGATGATGATGATGATGATGATGATGATGATGATGATGATGATGATGATGATGATGATGATCAATGATGATGATCAATGGTGATGGCGATGATGACGAGGGCGACGACAACGACGATGACGAGTTTAGTTGGACCGTATGGTGATGGGAATCGGCTCTATTGGTTGGACTCGATGGTATATGAGGTGGGGCCCTAAAGCTAACAACAGTTGACATCATAATTTGGCATGCCCGCACGTCCCCGCGATAAAGCTGAACTCCCGATGTGGTTTCCTACGAAGCTCAAGCTCGGCGAATAACGCTGTCTTATCGCAACATGCCTTCGCGTATACATTCTGAATGCAGTCAGCCCTCCTACGGCAGCTGCAACACCTCGCACAACGATCAAGATACATGGCGCTTCGCGTCTCCCCACCAGCCCAGTCTCGAAAGATGGCCTGGCAAGTTGCCTTGATCAGGGGAGTTCAGCAACATGCGTCGAGAGGTCGACCATGGCAAGCTTTCTCGGATCTTTCGTCTCTTGGATGCGTTTTGGAGCTCCCTGTCGGATTGTTTTGAACGGCTTCGGGAATCTCTTGGGGCCCTCTTAAACCCATCTTGGGGCCTTCTTGTGGCTCTCTTGGGGCCCGTCTTGGGGGCCATCTTGGAGGCCATCGGTTCAAAGAAGGACGCCCTCCCCCCCTCCCAGTCGGGGTCCGAAAACTCGCCTCTCTGGGCGCTTGGGGCCGTCTTGAAGCCCTAATGGGCCCCTCTCGGGGCTCTGCTGAGCTATCTTGGAGCCGTCTTGAGGCCTCACGCTGTCCTGGGAAGCAGAGTGGCGAAAAGGCACGCATCATGAGTTTCTTGTAGTTGTGTGGCAGATGCTCGTCACCCCGGGCCACGCCCACTCCAGCCGCCTGAGGCCCCGCCCGCCTGTGCCCTGTCTCCCCAATTAGAGCTGTGCGTAGCCCGCCTAGCTTTTAGCGGGAGAGGTTCCCTCTCGCCCCGCCGACCAAAAAAAAAGTGGCAGATGCTGGTCTCTCGAGGGCGTGCGCGGGAGGCCTTCCGGCGGCAGAGACAACGTCACATACAAGCTGCAACGGCATCATCAATTGACGTAGGTCGTCCCCGGTTGAGAAGGTCAGTGTCAGTCTTGGGCTTCGGTGACCCACCCGGATGGTACGATACATCCTCCAGTGAACCGTTGCCGAGAGTTTCCTGACGTATCCCTATCCGAATGTGTTCTCAGCTTGCCTTCGTGCCACTGGCACTGAGCCACGCGACCACGGCGCCGTGGGATGGTTTTGCTTATCCTCTGGCGCGTAGCTGTTGGTGCCCGGGTCGCCCCCCTTTGGGCACCAGTGCGTAGAGGGGGTGCTTGGACCCCCCTTTCCCACATGCTGGTGCTCGCGGGCATGCGGGACGTGATCGCAGCGCAACCCCACCCCGACGTGCCCCACCCCGCCCAAGAGCTACCGTTACCCGCCACCCCTTCCCCCCGGGTAGCGACCACTACCAGACAGAACCACCAAAACGACGTCAGATCCGTAGCCCCGATCTGGTCAATTCTCGTTGAATTCCGCTTCAGATGCTTCAGCCAGATTGAATACTGGGCTCGATCTGGGCGAATCCGGTTCAGTAGCGCCCGAGTCGAAGATGATAGTCCGTAGTCGTTCCCCTTTAGTCGTTCCGGCGAAGACCCCCCACGAGTTGCATCCCACGAGTTGCCTCCTGGGTAACGGCCGTTACCGGAAAATGGCAAACAGTTGCGACCCGTTGCGAACCCTACCCCTGCGGGTTTCATCGACGGTGGGGTATCGGACATTCCCTCGGGGGTCCCCTTGTGGTGCAGGCACCCTTCAAGCTCTCGACCCCGGCCAGTTCTTCAGAAATCTTTCCCGCAGGGGTATGTTTCCCATGTGGCTACCCAAATAACATCGGCGTCACCCCAACAGACTTCTGCTATGCGTCGCCCCCCCCCCAGGGGCGACGCGCGCACCGAAAAATCTTACAGTGTGCGCGTCGTGGCGGGTGTTTTATTTCCAACCCGCTCGGAAGACGATGTACTACAAGATGGGTGTAGTTTTTTTGTTCGGGTCGGACGCGTGCGCTTCCAAGGAGGACACATCGTACTCGTATGTCTCTGTGCGTCCCAGTATGGCTCCCGTGTGAGGCGTTCCCCTTCGAGGGTCGACGGAGGTGTCAGCTCTTCCGCCGCGGAGCGCGGCGGCAGGGCGGCGGAATGTCGGCGAAGGTCAAGCGGGGCCGCCTCCGCCGGCGGAAGCTCGGCGCCAGGCGGCGCAAGGAAACATGCGCCCCCAAGAGATGCAAAACGTTTTTTGGGGCTCAGGGTCTCCGAAATCGCTTACGGTAGGTTTGCGTCGTGTCGACCAGCGGCGACCCCAGCGTGGGCGTTCAAGGTTGAACGCCGCTGGCGACCCAGAATCGATCGACGTTGAACGATCGGACGTTGCGGCAGCGGCCGATCGTTCAAGGTTGAACGATCCCTGCGGTGTCAAAAACCAACGCTGGAGTCGGCACGACACGAACCTGCCGTATGCGTTTGCCCAGATCACACGCCCTCCAGGTCGACTCCTTCGCCAAGAAGGAGCTCGGCCGCGACTACGCGGCGCCGCCCGAGCTCGGCGGCCGGGCCCTCTCTCTCGTGCGCGCGGACATCGGGCGCTTGCCCTTCCCCTCCGACGCCCTGGACGGCGTCCACGCGAGCGCGGCCATCCACTGCTGGCCGGCGCCCGCGAACGCCGTGGCGGAGCTCGGGGGCACCAGCTCTCGGGCCCGAAGAAGACAGCACGCCACAAAGACAAAGCTGTGTGCGCTCCGCGCGGATTTCTCGGATCCGCGCTGAGGTCCCCCTCGGCGTCGCCTCCGGCGCCGCCCTTGGCGCCAGAGCCAAGAAGAAATCCGCGCGGAGCGCCAAAACAGTTTACAGTCGACCCGCAGAGGAAGGATAGGCATCCCTCCCAAGGGTACTCTTGCATCCTTGCTTCCTGGGTCCATCCTTGGCCACTTTCGCTGGCCGCGCCCCGCTCGAAGAGCTTTCAATTGGGCGTCCAGGGGCCTTGCATCCTTATCGCGCATCCTTACTCTGCGGGTTGACTGTATGTGTATGTGTCGTTTTGTTCTTCTTCCACGGGCGCCTTCTTCCGGGGTGCTCGGCGGTTGTGTCCAGTCTCGGGAGGCGGTTGTGTCGTTTTGTGTCGTTTTGTGTCGGGAGGCGGTTGCTCCGGGATGCTCGGCGGTTGTGTCGGTTTTTTCTTCTTCCACGGGCGCCTTCTTCCGGGGTGCTCGGCGGTTGTGTCCAGCCTCGGGAGGCTCTGCGGCAGCTGCGCCTCGCCGCTGGAGCCTGTCGGGGGGAGCCTGTCGGGGGGCGGGCAACGGTCGAGGGGGGGGGCTGGTCCAGGGGTGGGCAGAGGAGGAGGAGGAGGAGGCAAGGAGGAGGAGGAGGACTGACTGACTGACGAGGCGTGCGGAGACCAGGTCTAGCCTGGGCGCAGGAACAAAAGCAGACATGCGGGGAGCAACGGTGCGAGGGTCACTAACGAGGCGTGCGGAGACCAGGTCTAGCCTGGGCGCAAAAACAAAAGCAGACATGCGGGGAGCAACGGTGCGAGGGTCACTAACGGCGCAACGCCGGGCAGTCCCCACTCGCACCGCGCCCCCCGCAAAATCAGACATGCGGGAACTTACCTCCGCTCTTGGGGGGCAATCCCCTGGACAGCCGTGACAGAACCTCTTTCCCTGCTTTGGAGGGGGGGCTGTCCGTCTTGCAGGGCTTCGACAAACTCTGCGCATTCACCGTCGCATGAGCGCCGCAATGCAAACAGTAAAGAACTCCTCTCAAAACTTGCAATCGATGACTCCTGGCACACCTGGGGTACAAAGGGTGGGCCAGAGGGTCGGAGGAGAGGTGGGAAGGCCCCGCACACGGGCCAGGGAAAAAGTCTTGGACCTTCCCCCTCAACAAGAACTTACGCGAGCAAATCTGACACTGGAGGCAAGACCCTCGGCGCGTCGGCTCGTGGCCCGCCGCCCTCAGACGGCCTTTGCGCACCAGAAAGGACGGCAAGGGTGCAGGCCTTGGGGGGGGGCGTCCGAGCCTGTCCGAGACACGCCGAGGGTTCTCCGAAACAACCTCCTTATGGACCGCCAGCAGGCGGTCCAGAGTGTGACTAGTGATACGATCAACGAATCTAGTAGTTTCAACCTGCTCATCAGTGGGGGCAGCCCTTTGGGCCGCCCAGCCCGCGAAGAAATCAGCACAAAAGTTCAAAAAATACTCAACCTCGCCGATAGAATAGTGGGCCCTCTGTTGGGCCGAGGCGTGGCTCTTGGTCCAGATGACCTCGACCTGACCAGGGCCCCGATCGTCGATCGCATTCCAGATCAGAGCCCAGAGATCGAGCATCGAGCTGTTCGCCATCACCTGAGCCCGTGGCTGCCTGACCCCTTTGACCAGGGGCAAGTAATCAGAATAACAGACAATATCACCACTCGTTCGCAGAAGGACAGTCAGGAAGGCATACAACTCAGACCTCGGACTGGATTGTTCAGGAGTAGGTAAGGTACCACAGAGGACCGTAGATAACTGCAAAGATAGCCCATCAGGATCACCCAAGCACACAATAGACCATGCACAACGTCGTAGTCTCTTATCCTTGGCGTATACACCTCCAGAGCCATCAAGGCCCCAAATACCACCAAGAACACGATGTTGGACTCGTAGGGGACCCCAAGCCCACAGGAGCTCCTTCGGGGACGGCAGGTGACCACAGGTAGCGTCCCAGCTAGGAAGCCCACGAGTGAAGAAGGCACTCTGAGGGTCAGCCCCAAGAGCCTCAGGAACCAAATATTCACTTGCAGCAACGGCAGGGTCAGGTAGATACGAATTGCACGGGCACTGCCAAGCCCGATGCAACGGAGTTTCTTTAGAGGAGGAGGGGGGAACAGCGGCCCTCAATCGCCCAGTCGTCGCCAATCGGCCAGTCGGGGCCTGCGCTCGCTTAACTTGCGGTCTCGCCATCGGGGGTTGGCCCAAAGGTGGGGGGGAACAGCGGCCCTCGGCCAGTCGGGGCTTGCGCTTCCTTCACTTGCGGTCCCGCTCTCGGGAGCCTATCCCGATTTGCCGGCAGCGCATCGCCGATCCCGAGCAAGTTCTTGCCACCCCGCCTCTGAACCAGCCCGTCGCCCCCCTTTTTCCTCCCCTCTCAGGAGATCGCGCGCGTCCTGAAGCCGGGCGGGGTGCTCGTGATGTCGACCTTCACTCCGAGGTCTCCGATGGCTGCTGCGGGCAGCGGCAGCGGGAACGCGCCGTACAGGTTCTGGTCCCGGGACGAGCTGCAGTCCCTCACGAGGCGTTGCGGCTTGGTGGACTTCGAGGCGATCGAGCGCCAGCCCGCCTTCATCATGGTGCGCGTGAGGAAGCCGCGGGCGGATTGACGAAGCCCTCGCCCCGTGAGACGGACGCGGCGCTGTTTTTCACAGGTATGTCGATTCGAATGCAGCTCTTTGGAGGTCACGGTTTAACCCTGCTCTATCCAGTTTAATCCCGCTTAATCCGCGGCCTAATCCGGCGTAGCAGCCCCCCAGTGGGGGCTAAATCTTCCGCAGTCCTTCCGACGAAGACCTCCCAGCGGTTGCTTCCTTCGGGGAGGGCGAAGACGAAGAGGGGCGTGATGACAAGGTGGGGTGGATATCATAGCGGGGGCCATAATATCTCCCCAGATCTCATGGAGCCTCTTCGTATTTCTATCTGTTCCTGGTCCCGCCCCTGGGCCGTGCACATGCCGCCGGCCATGATTTGCGCATCCCCCTCTTGGACGCCCCCCTCTGGGCCTCCCCCGATTTCTCTAGGGTCGAAGAGATACAGTCGATGAACCGAGGTGCGGTGGAGACAGCGTTGGGCTCAGGCGGGGCTATGGTTAAGTCGGGCCTCTCCCTCTGCAGGGGGAACATTCAAGAATAGAAAAGAAAATAGCCTGGGGACGATTTTTTAAAAATATTTGTTGACCATTTGGGAATATCCCAAAATAGTAAAACATAGTCAGGGAACGATTTGTTTTGGTATGTTTGACCATTTGGGGATATGTTGCTTGTTTTTCCCAACCATCCTGTGGTGTTGGGTCCTCGTTTTGAAGAGACGGTGCCCCGCGTCTCCTCCTCTCCTCCTCCTCCCCCTCCTCCCTCCTGCCGTCCGCATGCGTCCCGCACACCCATCTCGGCACACCCCTCACACGTTTCGTGGCCCCACAGGGAGCTCCACCGAAGGCCCCATGGCTGCCGTCCGCATGCGTCCCGCACACCCATTTCGGCACACCCCTCACACGTTTCGTGGCCCCACAGGGAGCTCCACCGAAGGCCCCAGTGCTGCCGTCCGCATGCGTCCCGCACACCCATTTCGGCACACCCCTCACACGTTTCGTGGCCCCATAGGGAGCTCCACCGAAGGCCCTGGCTGCCGTCCGCATGCGTCCCGCACACCCATTTCGGCACACCCCTCACACGTTTCGTGGCCCCACAGGGAGCTCCACCGAAGGCCCCAGTGCTGCCGTCCGCATGCGTCCCGCACACCCATTTCGGCACACCCCTCACACGTTTCGTGGCCCCATAGGGAGCTCCACCGAAGGCCCCATGGCTGCCGTCCGCATGCGTCCCGCACACCCATTTCGGCACACCCCTCACACGTTTCGTGGCCCCACAGGGAGCTCCACCGAAGGCCCCAGTGCTGCCGTCCGCATGCGTCCCGCACACCCATTTCGGCACACCCCTCACACGTTTCGTGGCCCCATAGGGAGCTCCACCGAAGGCCCCATGGCTGCCGTCCGCATGCGTCCCGCACACCCATTTCGGCACACCCCTCACACGTTTCGTGGCCCCACAGGGAGCTCCACCGAAGGCCCCAGTGCTGCCGTCCGCATGCGTCCCGCACACCCATTTCGGCACACCCCTCACACGTTTCGTGGCCCCACAGGGAGCTCCACCGAAGGCCCCATGGCTGCCGTCCGCATGCGTCCCGCACACCCATTTCGGCACACCCCTCACACGTTTCGTGGCCCCACAGGGAGCTCCACCGAAGGCCCCAGTGCTGCCGTCCGCATGCGTCCCGCACACCCATTTCGGCACACCCCTCACACGTTTCGTGGCCCCATAGGGAGCTCCACCGAAGGCCCCATGGCTGCCGTCCGCATGCGTCCCGCACACCCATTTCGGCACACCCCTCACACGTTTCGTGGTCCCCATAGGGAGCTCCACCGAAGGCCACCAGTTTCGCTGCCGTCCGCATGCGTCCCGCACACCCATTTCGGCACACCCCTCACACGTTCGTGGCCCCATAGGGAGCTCCACCGAAGGCCCCATGGCTGCCGTCCGCATGCGTCCCGCACACCCATTTCGGCACACCCCTCACACGTTTCGTGGCCCCACAGGGAGCTCCACCGAAGGCCCCAGTGTTGCCGTCCGCATGCGTCCCGCACACCAGGTGTGTGGCGTGCCGACATGGGCGTCGCGGCGCGCGGGCGCTGCCGTCGGGGTTCCCAGGGAAGCCCCCTGCAGAGGCGACGCTCAGAGTCACGAGTACCGAGAGTCACGCAGACCCAAACTGTTCACAGTCGTATACATACATTTACACTGGGCGTATCCATGCACGCATTCATGCGAATAGAATCAATCGCGCGCAGATTCATTCATAATCAGACTCGCTCGCGATCCGACTCGCACGCGCTCAAGCTTTCATATTCGGACCTATCGTCTTCGTTCGTGTTGTGTACACTGCCACGCATTTCGGCACACCCCTCATACGGCTCGTGGCCCCATAGGGAGCGCCACCGAAGAAGATATTCACAATTGCGGTACTCTCAACTGCATATGGTTGGGTCCTTCGCCAGGCTAATTTGATTTTGTTTGTTTCCTCTTTCGTCCAAAATCCCCCTGTAGGGGGACAGGCCCGACTTAAGGCTATGGTCTCAGGGCAGCTCCTCGGGCCTGGGCCACGGGGACCTGGGGGCGGCCGAGGCGCGCCGTGGCCAGATGAAGGCCCTTACTCGGCCTCGAGTGGGGCTCGAGCGACCGAGGGTTTGTTTTTTGTCAGGAGGAGAAAAAACACACAGACACAACTGATCGTCCACTCCCAGGAACATATGGGAAAATATGGGAAGTGGGGGGGGGGGAGACACACACCTGGAAACTGTGGGGGAATGTGGGGGGTCCTGTTAGTTGTGTGTATTTATTGGTGTGTCCCAGGGCTCCTTTCGTTTTTGGTCCTTTTCCATACGAAACTCTTCCCAGAGAACCAGCCCTGGGGGCTCGCGCCCAGCGCGCGGGCCACCCAGAAGGGCAGCGCGCATGGCCACCCAGAAGGGGCCGGAAACAGCCCAACATGCAGAAAAAAAAAAAAAAAAAAAAAAAAAAAAAACAAACGATGGCCTAGAAGAGGGCAAGATGGCCTCCAAGTTCGCCCAAGACTGGCCAAGATGGTCTCCAAGGCGGTCAAGATGGCCTGCAAGACGGCTAAGGTGGCCCCACGGCTCGAGTTGGGGATCGACTGCAGATTTTATTTTCCCCACAATTGAGCTCCTCGTCGAGTCATATGAGTAAGGTTCGTTGATCTGCGAACCCTTCCTACGAATGTCTCATGGAGTCGACGAGCAAATCGAGTTTGGGGTGAAGCGACTCTGTAGTCGATCCCTTGCTCGAACAGTCGCAGGATGAGTGTAGGCGCAAGCTGCCAGCTGCTCAACGCATGTGCAGCGAATTCGGCAAGCGCCTCGCAGCTGTGTGAAGGGAAGGAGGAGGAGGAGGAGGAGGAGGAGGAGGAGGAGGAGGAGGAGGCGGAGGAGGAGGAGGAGGAGGGGGGGAGGGGGAGGGGGAGGGGGAGGGGGAGGAGACGGAGGAGGAGACAGGAGGAGAGGAGGAGGAGGAGGAGGAGGAGGAGGAGGAGACAGGAGGAGGAGGATGAGGAGGAGGGGAAGGGAGGAGGAGGGGGAGGAGGAGGAGGAGGAGGAGGAGGAGGAGGAGGAGGAGGAGGGAGGAGGAGAGGAGGAGGCGGAGGCGGAGGCGGAGGCGGAGGCGAAGGAGGAGGAGGAGGAGACGAATAGGCAAGGATGAGGAGCGCGCATTTTCCAGCATTTTCGTCGGAGGGAGCGAGCCGCTTTCCCTCCGCGGTTTTCGGGCTTCTTGGCACTAACAGGGTGCAGAGCCCCGGGCGGAGGATAACCCATAGTGCGGAGTGAGGCTGGCGCGAGCCTCTCGCGAGCAACCTTGTTCATCGCCCTCGTAACTCGTCCTCCCTGCTCTCTTCCTCGTCCTCCTCGATCTCCTTCTCCCCAACTCGCCCGCTCCTCCTGCTGCCGCTGGTGCTCCTCATGTTCCGATGTCTCTATGTCTCCTCCCCGTCTATTTCTCTTCGTTGTTCGTCCTCCGTCTCCTCCTGGCTTCGCCCTCTTCCTCCTTCTTCCCAGCGGGTCCCAGCGTCCGCCCGCCAGCCTCGTCGTCGCCACCCTTCCCCGCTGCCCCCCCTCCCTCCTTGATTTGGCGACGCCCTGCGTCCCTCTCCCCCTCCTCCCCCCTTTCCTCGCATCGTTGACCCCCCTTCACATCCTGTCTCGAGGAAGCAGGGGAGGGAGGGGAAGGGGGGGGTGGGGAAGCGGAAGTGCTATTCGCACGAACAGCAACATGTACACGAGTAGGGGTGGAGGAGGGGGAGAGATGTGGGGAGGGAGGGAGGGAGGGGGGAGGGAAGCGAGACTAAAAGCATCATTTGTTCGGCAAGGTACGTCTGCTCCTCCTCCCTCCCCGTCTCGTTGCATCCACCCCCCATCCTCCCCCTCCTTCCTTCAGTGTGTGAACGACGAGGAAGGGAGAGCGCTGGAGTGGCTGGAGTTGAACGGCTCGTCTGAGCGATCGCATCCCGCGCACTCACTGTAACGTGCCCTCCCCCCAGGAAGAGAGAATAGGACGAGAAGGAGGGAGTCAGGACGAAGATGAGGAGCGAGGAGCCAGGGAGGAGGAGTGAGGGAGGAAGAGGCTGACGACGACGACGAGGACGAGGGAAGGAGAGAGGGCGAGCGAGCGAGGGAGAGAGGGAAGGAGGGAAAGGAGTGGAAAGAGCCAGGGGGATGGATGCGGAGTCGTCGGGAGGAGGAAGGCCTGGGACGATAGGAGGGAGGGATACTGGGAGGGAGGGAGAAGGAAACGGAGAGGGAGGGAGGAGGCAGGAGGGCGGAGGGGGAGGAAGAGGAGGATCCGGAGGAGGAGAACGGTTCATTTCCTCTGATGGAACTGCCTCGAGGGAAGACAACCGATTGAAAACCCTGAAGCATGCCGAAATAGTGTGCTCGGGATTCCAACGCCACGGATCAACCTGACTGTTGCGTCTTTGCGATCCAGAATCTGACTAGAACGCCACTCTTTTGAGACTTTAACACCTCGAGTTATTTTAACTGTTGCACCCTCATAAGTCTGAATCCTTTCCGAACACCATGTCTGGTACGCTGACCATCGGAATCCGTGAAACCCTTGCGTTCTTTAAGGAAAAAGCGAGTGTGCGCGGCGCTAAGGCGAGAGACACATTTTGAAAAGGAACCTCAATCCGTGAAGCTCTGCAAATTTCTAAATCGAATGCACGCGGCGCTAAGGCGAGAGCCACATTTTGAAAACGACCCGCCTTCAATCCGTGACACCCGTGCCAATGTTTAAAACGACTGTGCGTGGCGCTACGGCGAGAGCCACATTTTGAAAACGGCCCGCTCTCAATCTGCGAAGCCCTTGCATCTTTTACACGAATGCGCGCGGCGCTAAGGCGAGAGCCACATCTTTCAAAGCTTCAGAGCGATCGTGCGCGGCGCTAAGGCGAGAGCTACATTTTGCAAACCACTCTTGCACATGTTTATAACGAATGTGCGCGGCGATGAGGCGAGAGCTGCATGTTGAAGACGACCCGCCCTCCATCCGTGAAGCTGTTGCTCATGTTTGAGCTTCCAGGTCATCAATGGTGAGGAGGTCTCAGGCGAAACGCCCGGCCCGCGCTAAAAACTTGCCTCGGGGTGCGACAGGGAGTAGCTATTCGCACGGAGAAGGACTGGAAGAGGAGGAGGAGAGGGAGGAGGAGAAGGAGGAGGAGGAGGCGGAGGAGAGGGAGGAGGAGGAAGAGGAGGAGGAGGAGAAGGATGAGGATATGTTGTTTATAAGGACGAGGAGTTGTTGGCGCCTCGGAGGGAGCGAGGAGCCGCCTGGAAGGCCCAGGAGAGCTCGCCCGCCGCGCCGGCCCTGCTGGGCCGCCGCGCCGGAGGCCGGCCCTCCGAGCGCGCGGGGCCCGTCGGGGAGGTCGTCGCCGTCGCCGTCGCGGGGAGCTTGCGTGCCTCACGCCCCTCGGAGTGGAGCGCCTCGCTCTCTGCCCTCGCGGGGCGCGGCGCGTCGCCGGGGCCGCCGCCGCGACGCGCTGCGCATCAGCTCTTGGCCGCGAAGGCCAGGCGGCGAGGCCACGCGAGCCCTGTACGGCCCGGGAGCCCACGCGCCGGGCACCCGGAGGAGAGACGCCCAGGCAGTGCAGCCGCGAAGCAGCAGTGCCCCGCTCCCCATCCCTCCTTGTCGTCGCTTTCTTATTCATTGTTTTGCCGATCGGCGCGGGCCCTCCCCCCGCGGAGTAGATCTTGGCTGCTCTGGGCGCCTGTGGCGAGCAGGTGGGGTCTCCCCACAAGGACGCCCTCTTGCATACAGTTGCATTAAGCAGGGGTCGATGATACTGATAATGAATATGATGATGATGATGATGATGATGATGATGATGATGATGATGATGATGATGATGATGATGATGATGATGATGATGATGATGATGATGATGATGATGATGAGGATGAGGATGAGGATGAGGATGAGGATGAGGATGAGGATGAGGATGAGGATGAGGATGAGGATGAGGATGAGGATGAGGATGAGGATGAGGATGAGGATGATGATGATGATGATGATGATGATGATGATGATGATGATGATGATGATGATGATGATGATGATGATGATGATGATCACCGTTATCATCATTATCATCATCGTCATCATCGAGCCAGACCCCCCCTTGCCCCCCCCGCCTCTCTCCGCCCACGGTCGCAGCAATGCGCAGGAAAGCCTTCACCCTGGGGCCAACTGGCGGGCGTGCGACTTTCCCCACCGCCGCCGGACGGAGTGCACCCGGCACGGAGAGGCCGAAGCCCCGCGGAGCCGCCACGAGGCTCGGGACGGCGGAGGCCACCCGTCGCTTCCCGATGGTTTTCCGAGTCCTTTCCACCTACAGTCACGGAGACACAGTCCGCATTGCGGCGCCGCCTCATTTTGGCACACCCCTCACACGCTTCCTGGTTCCATATGGAGCCCCACCTGGTGTCCCAGTGGCGCAGTCAGCATGGCGCCGCCGCCCCATTTCGGCACACCCGTCACACGTTTCGTGGCCGCATAGGGAGTTGTGCCTAAGGTCCCAGTGTCGCAGTCCGCATGGCTGCGCCGCCCTATTTTGGCACACCCCTCACACGCTTCGTGGCCCAATAGGGATTTCCACCTACGGTCCCAGTGGCGCAGTCCGAATGGCGGCGCCGCCCCATTTTGGAACAACCCCCACGCGTTTCGTGGCCCCCTAGGGAGCTCCACCTAAGGTCCCAGTGGCGCAGTCCGCATGGCGGCGCCGCCCCATTTTGGCACACCCCTCACACGCTTCGTGGCCCCCTAGGGAGCTCCACCTAAGGTCACAGTGGCGCAGTCCACATGGCGGCGCCAGCTCATTTCGGCACACCCGTCACACGTTTTATGGCCGCATAGGGAGCTCCACCTAAGGGCCCAGTGGCGCAGTCCGCATGGCGGCGCCGCCTTATTCTGTCACACCCTTTTCTCGTTTCGTGTCCCCATAACGGGGGCTCTACATCAGGCCCCGGCAGCAGCGCCCGCATGGCCGCCCCGCCCCATTTCGGCACTTTCTTCACCCTCGCGTTTCGTGGCCCCATGCGGAGATTCACCGAATGCGATACTACCAACGACGGCATTCACAATTGCATCTGGTTGCGTCCTTCGCCCGGCTACTTGTTTTGTTTCTGCGTTTGTTCTTGCGTTGCGCGGCTCCCATGCGCTGGGAGCGTCGGAGTCCCCATCCAGCAGGGCTAACTCGAAAGAGGGCCGCAAGCCCAGCGGGCGAGCCGCCAAACCCTGGGCGGCCCGCACCTGCAGCGGGGAGGTGGGAGGAGGGAGGGGAGGGACTGGCAGAAGGGATATATATAGAGAGAGAGAGAGAAATAGAGAGAGAGAGAGAGAGAGAGACTGACAGAGAGTAAGAGAGAGAGAGTGAGAGAGAGAGCGGGAGAGAAACCGATGTGTGACTATCCATCCACGTAACGGTATGTCTAGACATAGAGAGCGAGAGAGAGAGAGAGAGGACGACATAACGAAATAACGAAAGACAGCGGCAGCCAGACACGCCATAATTCTGGACGCGCATGCATATTGTATATGTTATCCATTTGCGCTGACGCGCATATGCGTTACCGCGCTTGCGAGAGAGGCCTACCGAGGCTGCGGTGCGACAAGGCATGCATTGAATTGCCCGACGCACCGACTGCACCACACTGATCGAATCATCAACATTGCACCGCACATGTTGCACCACAAATCTTGCGGCTATCTTCAGAGCTGGAGAAAGAGAGTGAGAAAACGAGTGAGAGTAAGAGTGAGAGTGAGAGTGAGAAACATCGAGGGTGCGAGAGCGAGAGAGAGAGAGAGAGGGAGAAAGAGAGAGAGAGAGAGAGAGACAGAGAGAGAGAGATAATAACAAACAGAGCATAGAAAGCGCAGACGAGGAGGAAGGGGAGGCGAGCGATCGCGCACTTCACTGGAGGCGGAGAGGAGAAGGAGGAGGGGGGAAGGGAGATGTAATTAGGAACGAGAGGGGGAGGAGGGACAAGTGGGGTGCGGAGCGGGAGGCCCTGAGCTGCAGGCAATAAGCTCACTGAAGGCAATGTCTTCTGCCTTCGTGACAGTCTTGCCCTCCGCGGAGGTCTCCAGATGACGGACGTCGCGGTGACCTACCGGGAGGGCCTGCCCCCTGCGCTGAGCGGGGTCTCGCTGTCTTTCCCGCTGGGCGAGGCACGGATGAGTGCCGGTCGCATGGGAGAGGAGGAGGAGGAGGGGGACGAGGACAAGCTAGGTGCGCTCGCGTCATGTCTGACATCCTACCCCTCCCTCCCATCCCTTACCATGGCGCAGATCCCCTCTCTACTCGCACAGTCGGATGTCGAGCAGGGCGATGATCCCGAAAGGGTACGCGATGCATTGTAGAGCACGGCATGGCATGGCGTAGAAGAGCACCGCGAAGCGTAGTATCAACCTAGCATTGCATTGCATGCCGTGGCATGGCACGGGAAATGACGCCAGCGCTGCAGCGGGAGCACGAGTCGAAACGAGCGGAAGCGCGGAAATGAGGCCAGCGCTGCAGCGGGAGCACGATTCGGAACGAGCGGAAGCACGGAAATGATGCCAGCGCTGCAGCGGGAGCACGATTCGGAACGAGCGGGGCCCGAAAATGAGGCCGGCGCCCCAGCGAGAGCAGCATTTTGGAAAAAATGCAGGCGAACACCCAACTCCGGGGAAACGTGTGTGTAAAAAAAAGTACGCGGGGGGGTCCAGTACTTTCAAACCGTCATCAGGGGAAGAGGGAAAGTAGTATTCATATTGAGTAATTGTGGAGGAGGAGGAGGAGGAGGAGGAGGGGGAGGAGGAGCAGGATGAGGGGGAGGAGGATCAGGATGAGGATGAGGATGATGATGATGCTGCTGCTGATGACGATGATGATGCTGATGATGATGATGACGATGATGATGGTGATGATGATTATGATGATGCTGATGATGATGATGGTGGTGGTGGTGGTGGTGATGATGATGCTTATTGTGATGATGATGATGATGAGGAGGAGGAGGAGGAAGAGGAGGAGGAGCAGGAGGAAGAGGAGCAGGAGAAGGAGGAGGAGGAGGCACTGGTTTAAGTTCGCGCAGCGTCGATAAGGAGGGGGAGGACGAGGAGGAGGAAGAGGAGGAGGAGGCGGAGGAGGAGGAGGAAGAGGAGTAGGAATATGGCGGCCTCCTCCCCCTCCCTGCCCCTCCTACCCTTCAATCGGATTGGAGGAGGGACGGCGGCCTCGCAACCAGAGACCTGGTCTCCAGGAGGTCGGGGCTTCCGTGCCGACTTCCCGCGGCGCACCTATGGTTAGGTGTGCTGGGCGCAAGCGCGGAACGGGGTACCGGCGGAGTCAGGCTGCCGCGGCAGGAGGAGGAGGAGGCGGAGGAGGAGGAGGAGGAGAAGGAGGAGGAGGAGGAGAAGGATGGAGGAGGAGGAGGAGAAGGAGAGGAGGAGGAGGAGGAGGAGGAGGAGGAGGAGGAGGAGGAGGAGGAGGAGGAGGAGGAGGAGGATCCGAGGAAGGGGGCGGTCTGAATCAGCGTCGGTTGGCCTTCGGTGGACCACCTCGTGGCCACGGCCGGATGCGGCTCGGAGAACGCAGCCGCGGAGGAGGAGGAGGCGACGAAAGTGAATGAAGGTGGGAGGGGCACGGAGGATGAGGAGGCGAGAGTCGGAGGATTCAAAGCATTCAAGAAAAAACTGTTGCCCGGCACAGCGTGCGGGAAGAGAGGAGGAAGGAGGGGGGAGAACGAGGCATCAGCTGGCCGAGGAGGAAGAGGGAGGAGCCATGACAATGACGAGGACGCGGCGGGAACGGAAGGGGAGTGCGAGGATGGATCAGTGGGATGTGGGGGAGACGTGTGTCGGAGGGCGAGGAGGCGCAGGAGGATGGATGCGAACGTGCATGTGGATCTGAACGATGGGGGCCGTGGTGAGCACGATTGCGTCTGGCCGTTCCCCTCCTTCCCCCTCCCTCTCTCTCTGGCACAGGGCTCGAGCTACGTGAGCAGTGTTTCTCGTTTTCGTTTTGGTTTCGCTTTCTCTCGTTCTGCCTTCGTTCTGCCATCGCTGCGACAAAACTGGATCGAAACGACACCTGCCCACGGCATCGCCGCAGCACCGTCCAGCCCGAGAGTCGAGGGCCGTCTTCTGCTCCCCTCGGCGCTCGGCCTGAGGACCGTTGTCTTCATTTCCGTCTGGCGAAGGCCCAGGGGAGGTCCAGAGGAGGTCTCGGTCTTCATTCGGCGTCACCCCAGCATACTCATACTACATGTGCGTCGCTCCCCCAGGGGCGACGTGCGCACCGAGAAATCTTATAGTATATGCGCGTCGTGGCCGGCGCTTTCTGGCCACGCCGCTCGGGAAATACTACAAGATGGGTATACTGTATGTTCGGGTCGGACGCGCGCCTCCAAGGAGGACATATAGTATTGTGTAGTATGTCCCTGTGCGTCCCATTCATCGACAACCGATCCGCAGCTCGAATTCCGAAGGAGGGCAGCGAGAGGGAAACACGCGTGCAAGGACAGGTTGGACATAAAGGCCCACCGATCAGTCGACGGGGAAAAGATGACGGCGTCTAGCTTCCAGCATTGCACCAGGGGCCCATGTTTTGTATTGATGCCGGGCTTTTGGTGCACGGTGCAGGGAGTAGGAAGTACGCCAGCGCAGCTAGACGGCGCAAGGTTCAAGGCCTTCGTTCGGATTGTTTCTTAGGAGGCAATTTGGTTATATTTGACAGAACTCGTCGTGAACACACCTGTCTTCATGCTGCTGTTGGAGCGTTCGACGGAGTACTACACACTCTGTTTCCAGTGAGGTCAAATCCCCCAGAATGTCCCACATGATGTGTGCTCCATGATTGGCCGAACACTCGCGCCTGCCCGCTCTGGAGCCCGCCAGATCTCAGAGATCTTCGATCTACCTCGACCCGGATTTGTGATAGTCTTGGGTTTCATCATTAGTACGTGCTGCCAAGACTGCACCTCCCACTTCAAGGCGGGGCTGAGACAAGGACTTAGTGGGCCCTGGAAACGACAGGGCCGTTTTTTTACCGGTTCCGTTTTGCCGTTTTTGTTGGGGGTTACGACGCCGTTTTTGTTACCGGTTCCGTCGCTGTTTTTGACCGGTTCCGGCTCCGGTTCCACTCCTGGAGCCGTTTTTGTTGCCGTTTCCGGTCGCTTTTTTTCCCGGAAATGGCCTGAGCCCAGGGTTCTCTTTAAGTTGGTTTCCCCCCGGTTTTGACGGCTGTAGGGCCGGCGAATTTCTTTTGCGATAAATAACGAGGTCGCGTAGGGCTGGCGAATTAAAAATTGAGGATGTCCCTAGCGAAACGCTTGTTTTTGGAATCGCGATCGATAAATCACAGGGTGCGGGATATGTTTTGGTCAGGGGCATGGCCTTCGTTGCCAGAGGCTTCGCCGGGGCAGGCGGCGCGTTCAGGTTGCCGCGTCGGAACTGATTCGGGTCTTGAGCGCGAGCTGGTCGAGCGCCTCGTTTCGACCGCAGCCGGCTTTGAGTGATCGCGCGCCCAGGCAGCTCAAGCTCAAGATCCATATCAGTTCGGGTAGGAAACAAACGCCCAGGTCGACGCGGCGCTGACGCGTCATCTGCTTCCTCATCCATGTCTTCAGTTGTGCGTTTCGATTGCGTCAGATGAGAGTTGCTCGTTCAGGTAACTGGAGCTTAATACTCAGACCCGTTCGGTCAGAGCTCTGACGCCAATGACGACCTGATCCACAATGCAATAAAGCACAGCGCACTCCGGCTGTTCCGTGGTGTGTTTCGCGGGGCCCCCCGCGGGGAGTTTTATGGGGTGGTTCGTGGTTTGTGTTTGGCCTCCGTTCGGGTCCGCCTCTTGCTTCGTCCCGCTTCGGAACTGAATCGGATCTTGAGCTCAAGCTGGTCGAGCGCCCTGCGCGTTTCGATTGCGGCCAGCTCTGGGCGAGCCACGGGTTAAGGCAGCTCGAGTTTAAGATCCATATCAGTTCGGCCAGGTGTCGGATGCAAATGACGACTTGGTCCACAACGCAATTCGTGGGGTGTCTCGTGGAATATTTCGTGGGGTGTCTCGTGGAATGTTTCGTGAGGTGTCTCGTGGAATGTTTCGTGGGGTGTTCCGTGGTGTGTCTCGTGGGGTCTTCCGTGGGGTGTTTTGTGGGGTGGTTCGTGGTTTGTGTTTGGCTTCCGTTCGGGTCCGCCTCTTGCTTCGTCCCGCTTCGGAACTGAATCGGATCTTGAACTTAAGCTGGTCGAGCGCCCCGCGCGTTTCGATTACGGCCAGCTCTGGGCGAGCCACGGGTTAAGGCAGCTCGAGTTTAAGATCCAGATCAGTTCGGCCAGGAGTCGGATGCAAAGAACGACTTGGTCCACAACGCAATAGAGCACAGCACATGTCAACGCATCATGACACGTTCCAAGTCAGCACAGCGCGGCAGAGCACAGCCCCTGGCACGGCACATCGCCATCGATGCCTTCAGCATTGCAAGTGCCCGTCGCCTAGTTCGGTGTCGCGAAAACGTTTCCATGCTCCGCATTTCCATATTCCTTTCCGGGTTCGTGGGTCGATCATGTTTTGCCGTTCCCATTTTCAAGGGACACTTTTTCGGAAACGGTGAAAAAAAAAGGCCCTGCCGTTTCCGGGATCCACTAAGGACAAGGACATCTCCGTGCCAGAGCGTTCCTGAATGCTCTCAGAGCTTTCCGGAGCGCTCTGAGAAGGCCGCGGCGCCTGATACGCCCTCCAGGGCCGCCGGATCGCAAAGCTTCTCCATCTATTTCAGTGGTTTGCGCCATTCCGCCGACCCCCCCCCCTCTTGGAGAACTTTGGTGGGGGGGATGTTGGAGGCTCTTTGGGGCCTCGTGGGGGCCTCTGGGGGGCTTCTTGGGGGCGTCTTAGAGGCCTCGTGTCGATTTGTCCTCATCCGAATTTGTCTTCGTCCTAGGTCCCCGGGAGACCTCCCGAGTCGCTGCCCTGCCCAGGCCGCCGCCATCATGGGCCGCACCGGCGCGGGCAAGTCCTCGCTGCTCTTGTCCGTGATGCAGCTCGTCCCGTACACCGGCACCTCCCCCCAGGGGCAAGAATTCGCATGCGTTTTCCCCCCCCCCCCCCCCCCACCCCTAAGCCCCCGAGTTCCGCCCGAAAAGTTTGGCCGCCCAGAACGGGGGGGAATCGAGGGATGCACCCCAATGGGCCAATGGGGCCATTCGGACGCACGCCTATCGAGGATGGACGCCCCCCCGTCGTATATCCCAGGGTTGGGCCCCAGATTTTCGGTCCATTCGACAATCCCCGAGAAGACTGGGATAGGGGCGACATATCCCCTGATATGAATACTTGTGCGAGGGAGCATGCGGGAGCGTCGACATGAATAGCAGGGGTCCAGAGAAGGAACACGGGGGCCATGCCCAAGATGTCGCGGGATCTTGCCGATACCGATCTTGGTCATGGTTCATGTTGCCCATCGCCGATTTGCGAGGACGATCCACGAATCTACGCTGACCAAGATGGACACTACGTTTTCGCGCTCAATTTGCGTCAAGGTCCACTTTTTCTTACTCTCGGGGGGGTCCTGAGGGAAACGTGTCCTTGAGGTGTTCGCCATCCTTCGCCTCCTGGGGCCCTCCCCGGCCCTCTGGGGCCGTCAGACGACTACTCGGCACGAAGAGCTGGTAAAGGGGGGAGAAAGTACCGGGGTCCACAGCCGCGCGGAGATTATCATTCTTCGGGCGTCGCCTGGTGACCCCGCGGGACAGTGCCATGGAAATGGCGAGCTCGCACAGCGCCAGGCGCGGAGCCCAAGGGGAGCGCAGCCACAGCCAGTAGCCACCAAGACGACGCAGGTCCTGCCCGAGTCCAGGGGAGGGGCGGCCACACAGGTCGCGGCGCCCGAGAGGTCCTCCAGAGCTGTCGGATCTCAGAGATTCTCGATGTGTCCTTATCCTCGCCCAGGCTTCGTCTCGAGTGAGGGCGGAGACGAGAATCAGACTCAGCAGCACGGGCGGAGACGGGGGAAAAGTCTGTCGTATGTCTCCAGAGAGGTCCGTGGAGGTCCCTGGAGGCCTCTGGCAACCTCCGCAGAGGCCAAGCAGGTCTTCCAGTTTCGAGACATCTTTGAAGACCTCCCCCTCCCCTCTCTTCGATCTTCCTTCTTTTTCCCGGAAAGGGCGTGGGCCCAGGGTTCTCTTTTAGCTGCTTACCCCCGGATCTGACGGCTGTAGGGCCGGCGAATTTCTTTTGCGATGAATAACGAGGTTGCGTAGGGCCGGCGAATTAAAAAAATCAGGATGTCTCAGGCGAAACGCTTGTTTTTCAGAATTTGTTGAGGATGTCTCTAGCGAAACGCTTGTTTTGTGTTATCGATTGTCTTCTCCTGGGGACCAGAATTTAGAGGATCTCTCAAGTGAAATGCATGGTTTCACGTGCCAAGGTCTTGGGGATGTCTCGAGCGAGAAGCTTGGTTTCACGCCTCAAGGTTGCCCAGGCAGAGGTCTAGCGCCAGGATTTGTTGAGGATGTCTCGAGCGAGACGCTTGGTTTCACGCGTCCTCGTCGCCCAGGCGGATGTCTAGAATGAGGAGGTGTTGAGGAAGTCTCGATCGAGATGCTTGTTTGCACGTGTCCGGGTTGCCCAGGCGGATGCCTAGCACGAGGATGTGTTGAGAATGTCTCGAGAGATACGCTTGTTTTCACGTGTCCAGTTCGCCCAGTCGGATGTCTAACATGAAGATGTGTTGAGGATGTCTCGAGCGAGATGTTTGCTTTCACGTGTACAGGTCGCCAAGGCGGATGTCTAGAATGAGGAGGTGTTGAAAACGTCTCGAGCGAAACGCTTGTTTTCACGTGCCCAGGTCACCCAGGCGGACGTCTCACATGAAGATGTGTTGAGGATGTCTCGAGCGAACTACTTGTTTTCACGTGTCCAGTTCGCCCAGGCGGACGTCTAGCATGAGAATGTGTTGAGGATGTGTTGAGCGAAATTTTTGTTTTCACGTGTCCAGGTCGCTCAGGCGGATGTCTAGAATGAGGATTTTGACAGGATGTCTCGAGCGAAACGCTTGTCCCCAGCACGTTCCGTAGCGCGTCCCCTTGGCACGTCCCGCGGTGCGTCCCCATGGCATGTCCCCTGGCATGTCGCCTGGCGCGTCCCTTGGGACGTTCCGCGGCGCGTCCTCCTGGCATGTCCCCCTGTCAAGTAGCTCTGCGGCAGATACTATGTGTTCAGGCAGCTCGAGCTTAAGACCCAGATCAGTTCGGTCAGGACTCGGATGCCAGGGAGGACTCGATCCACGACGCTATAGAGCACAACCGCGGCATGGCACATCGCAATTCAGCACGGTGCAGCACAGCACAGACTTCGGCACGGTACATCAAGATCGATACAATCAGCATTGCAACCTGGCACGTTCCTTGGCACGTTCCGTGGGGCGTCCCTTGGCGAGTCCCCCTGGCACGTCGCGTGGCGCGTCCCCTGGCACATTCCGTGGCACATCCATTGGCACGTTCCGTAGCGCGTCCCTTTGGCACCTCCTACGGTGCGACCCCATAGCACATCCCTTGGCACGTCGCCTGGCGCGTCCCTTGGGACGTTTCGCGGCGCGTCCTCCTGGCATGTCCCCCTGTCAATTAGCTCTGGGGCAGCTACTATGTGTTCAGGCAGCTCGAGCCTAAGATCCAGATCAGTTCGGTCAGGACTCAGATGCGAAGGAGGACTCGATCCACGACGCTATAGAGCACAACCGCGGTATGGCTCATCGCAATTCAGCACGGTGCAGCACAGCGCAGCCCTCGGCACGGTACATCAAGATCGATCCAATCAGCATTGCACTTGGCCGTCACCCAATCAGGTGTCTTTGAAAACGTTGCCATGCGTTACATTTCTATATTCCTTTCCGTGTTCGTGGGTCGACCATGTTCTCCTCCGCGGGGAGGGGGAGGGGAGAAAGAGGGAGGAAGTGAGGGATGGAGGGTGGGAGGAGGGTGAGGGGACCAGGAGTTGGAGGATGAGGGGAGGATGATCAGTTGGAGGGACGGGCAGGAGGAGGAGGAGCAGGAGGAGGAGAAGTATGAAGAGGAAGAGGAGGAGGATGAGATGGAAGAGGAGGAGGATAAGGCGGAGGGGGAAGAGGAGGAGGGGGAAGAGGACAAGTTAGGTGCGCTCGCGTCATATCTGACATCCTACCCCTCCCTCCCATCCCTTACCATGGCGCAGATCTCCTCTCTACTCGCACAGTCGGATGTCGAGCAGGGCAATGATCCCGAAAGGGTACGCGATGCATTGTAGAGCACGGCATGGCATGGCGTAGAAGAGCACCGCAAAGCGTAGTATCAACCTAGCATTGCATTGCACGCCGTGGCATGGCACGGGAAATGACGCCAGCGCTGCAGCGGGAGCACGAGTCGAAACAAGCGGAAGCGCGGAAATGAGGCCAGCGCTGCAGCGGGAGCACGATTCGGAACGAGCGGAAGCGCGGAAATGAGGCCAGCGCTGCAGCGGGAGCACGATTCGGAACGAGCGGGGCCCGAAAATAAGGCCGGCGCCTCAGCGAGAGCAGCATTTTGAAAACAAATGCAAGCGAACACCCAACTCCCGGGAAACCTGTGTGTAAAAAACAAGACGCGGGGGGGGCGAACACTCCCAGCACGTCATCAGGGGAAGAGGGAGAGTAGTATTCATATTGAGTAATTGTGAAGGAGGAGGAGGAGGAGGAGGAGGAGGATGAGGAGGAGGAGGAGGAAGAGGAGGAGGAGGAGGAGGAGGAGGAGGAGGAGGAGGAGGAGGAGGAGGAGAGGAGGAGGAGGAGAGGAGGAGGAGGAGGAGGAGGAGGAGGAGGAGGAGGAGGAGGAGGAGGAGGAGCCTGCCCACCGCCAGACGCTGCAGTAAACCAAGACAGAAGGCGAGTCTTGCAGCCGATCTCCAGCCTGCATAGCACTCTATCAACAGAGCCGTGCCACCAAAGATTGTTGCGAAATTGCTTGCCTGTCGGGGGAAGCACCTCTGCCTCTCCTCCCACCACCTGGGCAGGGCACTCGGCCTCTCCCACCACCTGGGTCTCGGCCACTCCTCCCACCACCTGGGCCCTTCCCGACGTCGGGGAAACAGCAAGGGGGTCGGCCTCTCCTCCAGCCACCTGGGCCCGAACCTCCCCAAGGACCACTCCACCCTCCCCCTGGGTCCTGGCCCAAAGGGCCCTTCCCGACAGAGGGCATGCATCTTCCTTATCATGACATCCAGCGTTGGAGCCGCCCGAGATCTCGCCCAAAACGGAGAGCGGCCCCACCTCCTCCAGCTTGTCGAGGCCCTTAGGAGACATCAGTTGCATGCCGGACGGCTGCACCCTCAGGTCCTTCACCTCGAGGTCGTCCGCCGAGCCATCGAGGGGGCCCTGGAGCACGCCGGCCTGCGAATAACCGAGCAGCCAAGAAAACGGACTTACTGGGGGGACGGTTGGCCAACTCCGTTCCTCGCCCTCGCCGCCACCATGAAGAGCATGACAGAAGCCGTCTATGCTGGGCCCTTCGAATGGGGTGGCCCAGTGAACCCGAAGCTGCCCACATCAAAGGTATGACCCAGCACACTTGGCTGCCACGTCGCAGGCTGAGCAAGTGCCTCCAGCAGCACGTCACACTGGGCATCACCCCTCACTCGCACTGTGAAGTGAGCCCCTGCGCCAGGTCGGAAGAAGGGAGCCGAAAGACACCATGATGTGGGTCCCACGGTGTCCGACGCCTCGCAGCCCCCAGCCCTGACAGAGACTTGCTTCGCGACGCACCTCTCGTCCGAGATGACCACGTCGCTCTCCGCGCCCAGCCGCTATTTCTTGGCGGCCGCGCGGAGCTCTGACGGCGACGCCGTGCTGATCCGACCCTCCATTGCACGGGCGCGCGCATGAAGCGCCACGTTGCGCCTGAGACGGTCCAGCGATGAAGGCACCCGACCATCGGCCATGTCCTGCAGCGCCGGTAAGACGGCAGCAACGCGGTCCGCAAGCAGCGAATCGCCGACCAGCGCCGACAGGGCGGACTCGGCGAGCTCGAGCCTCTCCTCCAGCAGCTTGGTCTTATCGATCGCGTTGCGGACTGCGCCGTCCGCTGCCTCCCGAGCGCGTGCACGCCTAGCACTGCGCGCCGCCGACGGCTCCAAGGCCGCCCTCGCAGGGGCGCCGCCCGCAGCCACCATGCTCGCACCGCCTCCCCGCCGCGCCTGGGGCAATTCGAGCCAACATGAGCCAAAATGGCTACGGAGGGGGACGAGGAGAGGAGGGAAAGGAGGGCTGGGAGGAGGAGGAAGAGGAGGAGGAGGAGGAGGACAACTGAATGGGAGGAGGAGGAGGAGGAGGAGGAGGAGGAGGAGGAGGAGGAGGAGGAGCAGGAGCAGGAGCAGGAGGAGGAGGAGGAGAGAAGAGCACGAGCAGGCGGATGGAGGAGGATGGGATCTGTAGCATCAGCGGCGGGTGCCCCTCTTCCCCGCCAGTTAGGCAGCATCTCCGTGTGCGGCGAGGTGCTCGGTTCCCTGGACGGCGAGGAGGGCTCCCCTCCTGCGACTTTGATAGAGGTTGATCAGGAGTTTCGCTCCTGCGACGCACATCCGATTTGCGATGCCTCTGGGCTGCTGACAAGTCCCTGGGGGGGAGATGGCGGCAGAGCCGATCCTGCTTGGGAAAGGCGTCGCTCGGACGTGTGCATTTTTCTCGGCGTGGACCATTGAGGAGCATTTTTGATCATTTGGCGAAACATGCACGCACGAAATCGAAAAATGCACGGGGAATGGACGTCCGAGCGATGGCGAGAGGAGGACATCTGCGTACGCTACGAGGCGCAAGCTCCGCGCATCGGGCGCCCCGGAGGAGGCCACGGAGCGGCACGGGCGGCAGCGTGGCGAGCCTTTTGGGCATCCGTGTCCAGTTGGTCTGGAGACGGCTTGGGCCCTCCTGGGGCCAGCCTGGGGGAGCCGACCCCTAACATCGAAACTGGTACACCGGACTGGGGGCTCCAGGGGCCTGAGGACTGAGGGCCCCAGACGACGACGACGACGACGACGACGACGACGACGACGACGATGACGACGACGATGATGATGATGATGATGATGATGATGATGATGATGATGATGATGATGATGATGATGATGATGATGATGATGATGATGATGATGATGATGATGATGGATGATGATGATGATGATGACGACGCTGATGGTGATGATGATGACGACGCTGATGGTGATAATGGTGGTGGTGATGACGACGTGGGAAGTGATGAGGAGTCCGAGGAGGAGGAATACGCCGCCCAGCGCACGGGGCGTCCACGGCACGCCCACGAGGCGACGCCTCGTGTCGGCCGAGGGCCCCCCCGGCCATGGCGGCTGCACCGCCCCGACCGCCCCCCGGGGGCCCGGCACCGTCGCGCGCCCCCCGGGGGGCTCTCACGGGCCGCCGCCCCCCGGGGGGGGGCTGGACAGAACCCCCAACAGTGACACGTCGATTAGTGATTTGTCCGTTTTCGGTTCTCGAGAGGGCGCCGTGGCCGTCATTTTCCAGGCTTGCGCCCGCCAGGTTTGCGCCTCAGGTCGTTTTCACCAAAACAACGTTTTACTAAAGGGAGGTCTGTCCATCCCCGACGCCCGGGGGGGTGTCCGGTTTGTGAGCGCGCTGGCTCCGGCCGCCGGCGCGAGGGCGAGGAGGCTTCCGGGGCACAGGTGTGAAGTCGGGCCTGTCCCCCTATACAGGGGGGTTTGCGACGAGAAATAAAGAATACCCCAGTAAGTAGTCAAACAAATAGTCCCAAAATAGTCTGGGGACTATTTTTTTAGTATTTGTTGACCTTTTGGGGGTATTTTTGGGGCATGTATGATTTTTTCCGAAAATCCCCCTGAAGGGGGACACGCCCGACATAACACAAGTGACGGGGGTCAATGCAGACGGGGGTCAGCTAGAGCGCCAGATCTTGCAGGATCCTGCAGGACCAGGGTCGCATGGACCCAGGTTTGGGCGGAGGATCCTGTAGGATCTTGCAGCATCCTGCAAGGCCCGACTGACCCGGGTCTGGATTGGCCCGGGTCAGGAGATCCCCGAGGTTTTTGGATTCTCCCCCACTCGAGAGGGCGGGGCTCGTCATAGTTTAATAACGGGAGCTCCCGCCCGTCAGCCCCGGGCTCCGCGGCCGCCAGGCCCAAAGAGTACCATCCCCCCCGAGTGGCCCCAAGAGTCCCGCCTCGCCAGCCTGGGATACCGCGGCCGCCAGGCCCAACGAACTGGCGTCAGCTTCACACGTCAAGGGCAGCCGCAAAGCTCAAACAGCAATACTGTGCGTCAGCGACGCACGCCAACATCGTGCATGAACGCATACGCCACTGTTCGCCAGCGTGGATCCCAATGGGTGATGTCTTCCATTGTGGGCTTGCTTGCTGCGTGGTGACAGCTGGGTGTCGAGAGCTATGGAGGTGAACGCTCTGCGGTGCAAGCTATGTGGTGTAATCCATGTCGTGTAAGCTACACTGTACAACCTATGTGGTGTAAGCTGTGCGGCGGAAGTAGTTGTTGCATACTCATGGGGTGACAATTCTTCGGCTCGCGCTAACATGTTCTTCCCAGCCGCAACTTGGCTTGCAAAACTCATGCAGCAGCGGTTGCGATGACTGCTTGGCCATGGCTGCAGAGCAGCCAGCTGGGTTGGCACAGCCGATGCTGCCGCAATGGCGTTGGCCGATATCAATGTCCCAGCGCGCGTCAAAGGCCGCGCTGGCGCGCGGACACCTCAATGCGGGTCATTGGTTCGGGCGGGCGCGCTCTCAAGATGACGTCGACAACAGCGGCAACAAAGATGATAGTAGCCATGGAGGTGCCGATGATGACGATGACGGCGGCAGGGCCAATGACGGCGGCGATGTTGGTAACGCCAATGACGATGATGATGTCCGTGCACCGACGGCGGTGCTCGAGTGATGATGGCGGCAATTGCGACGATTGGAGGACGTGATGCGGCTGCGCTGGTGGCGGTGATGGTGAGAAAGGGCGCGCGCACGGAAATCCAAGAACCCGGCCAAGTTGTCACTTAAACAAAACGAAGTCAATTTCCTGGCATCGCTCGGACGTGTGAATTTCTTCTCGGCGAGAACCATTGAGGACGATCCTGGACCATCGAGCAAAAAAAACACGCACGAAACCGAAACATGCACGGGAAATGGACGTCCGAGCGATGGCGAGATTTTGAATTGAGCCGAGAACCACTGGTCTGGAACGAATGCCGGCTCCCTCGAGTGGCGGCGCGCACGTGTGGCCCGCATGGTACAATGTGATGCGGACTCGCGCGCTGACTGCATGCGGGATCGAGGAGGATGCACCGCGCGGTGGGACGAGAGTGCACGTCTGGGGCGAGAGTGCGGATAGCACGATATCAGCGAATGCGCGCGGGCAGCGCACTGACAGTGTTCGTGATGCAAGTCCTCCGGGCGTGGACGTTTGCATGTGGAATTCTTTGTATCACTTTTGTGGTTGATCTGATTTCGGCATGTGCGCGCCTGTGGACTTTCCTGCCGTCTATGCACAAGGGATGTCTGAGACAGAAGGTTTTGAGGTCCACGGGTGTGTGCGCGCCTCGTGGTGTCTCCAGCAGCGATGAGGGGGTGATCACCGGGTGGGTGGGATGGTCTGACGTCACGTGGAACATGAACGACGAAGCAGTTCATGCTCGATGTGCGATGCCTCAGGGTTGCTGGCAAGTCCCGGGGGGAGATGGTGGTAGAGCTGGTTCTCTTTTGTCGGGGGCGGAAAAGAGGGGGGTGATGACTAGGGGGGGGGGTGGATTTCATGGCGGGGGCCATGATATCTCCCCAGATTTCAGGGCGCCTCTTCTTGTTTCATTACTTATCTGGCCCCCCCGCTGGGCCGCGCACATGCCGCCGGCCATGATTTGCACCCCCCCCCTCTTGGACACCCCCCTCTTGGCCGCTCCCGATTTTGGAAAGGAGAACAACTGCGTAAAGCTACGAGGCGTAAGCTCCGCGCACGGGGTGTCCACGAGGAGGCCACGGAGCGGTACGGGCGGCAACGCGGCGAACCTCCGGGGAAGCCACCCGGCGCACGGGGCGTCCACGAGACGCCTACAAGGCGGTGGCAGCGTGGCGAGAGCCCGCCACACCCAGCCAGTGCACGGGGTTCCCGTACATGGACATTACATTCGAACCCTGTGGCCCAAGATGCCCCCGACCCCCCGAAATTGATATTGATGGCGTGGCGACGGGGGGGGGCGTGAGTGGACAGAAACATCCGAACCCCAGAGCACCGCCTTTACCGAGATCAACATTGATGTCGGGGGCGCGGGGGTAATTTAGAATCTCCCGCGAATGTGTGAGGGCTCGAATCTATTGTCCATCTACTGTCCCACCAGGCGGCACGGGCAGCAACGTGGCGCACACCAGACGTGCCCGACCAGCTGTCCCACCGCTTCGCTCCTCCTGCCGGCCCGTCTCGTGCCATCGCCGGCGTCTGCGTGCCCGCTCGTGGGCCGTGCGGCGCTGCTGGTCACTCTCGGGAGGCTCCTGCGCAGCAGGCTTGGGGGCTCCTGGGGGGCCTCCTGGGGGCGCCTCGGATGCCTCCTGGGGCGTCGCTTGCGGGCTCCCCCAGCAGCCCCCAGGAGTTCCGACATCCGCGACGGGGACCGCCGGGGGGGAACGCCCGGGACTTGCCTGGGGTACTCTTCGTCCAGGGGCCCGCAGGGGCAGGCATGCCCGCACGAACCAGAAGTTCTCTAAAGCTGTCGCCGAAGATTTCAGCACGCCTCTTGGCCCGAAGGGCTGGCGAATTCAAGATAGCACAGGTGAACAAAGACCCTAAGTGCAAGCATCGTTTGGAAAATCACGTGCACGAATGCCAGACCAATAATGTGCACAAGCAGCTTACATCAGTGGTACAAGACTGGTCTTTGCTGTTGCGCCGTCTGGTCGGGTATGGCCAGGACCCCTGGTAAGGGGACCCAGTTAGTGGTAGGGCCCCGGAGCCCTTGAATTGGCCAGAATCACTAAACCAGGTCCGCCATATAGCCTATGTTTTTTCGGGTGGCGGCAGTTCCAGTTCGTGGGAATGGGACGGGGGGGCGCCCCCAGTACAGATCACTAAACCAGGTTCCACCAAACCCAGTTCTACCATTCTGTCGGGCGTGTCCCCCTTCAGGGGGATTTTCGACGAAAAAATAAAAATACCCCTAACATATTCCAAAAAGGTAAAAAAATACTCAAAAAAATAGACCCCATACCATGTTTGGAGTATTCTTTTTATTATTTTTGGGATATTTTTTGTTTTTCGTCGAAAATCCCCCTGTAGGGGGACAGGCCCGACTTAATTCTACCAACGCCCGATCTGGGTGCGGCTGCAGGCTGTGTGTGCGGGGGGAGGGGCCACGCAGAAGGAGCTCCTGTCTGCCTGACCGAGGTGCGTGGCGTCGGGGAGCTCGCACTTCCGCGCCTCCTGCAAGGTTCTAGGCTTATGTCGGGCGTGTCCCCCTACAGAGGGATTTTCGACGAAGCATCAAAAATATTCAAAATACACAAAATATGCAAAAAAATACTCAAAAGTAGTCCCCATATTATTTTTGGCGTATCTTTTTTGATTATTTTGGGGGTATCATTTATTTTTCGTCGAAAATCCCCCTGTGGGATGACACGCCCGACATAATCCTAGATGAGGTCGGAGTAGATGGGGTCGGAGGATCGCGCCACATCGCCGATGCGTCGCCGGTGCGGCTCAGAGTGGAGTCCGACTTGCCTCGCGCCCATGTCGAGGATGCAACGCCGGTGCATCGCCGATGTATCGGCGATGCATCGGCGATGCGGCGCGATCCTCCGACCCCATCTGCTCCGACCCCAGCTAGGAGGCCTCTAAAGCTCATGCGAGCGGCGCAAGAGCAAGGGGTCGCCTGCGCTGACACCGGCGCGCAAGCTGCCCGGCAAGGTCGCGCGTGGGCGCCCGCGCCTCCAGCGTCATGCCGCGCTGCCGGCCCGCGTAAGCCACCGCGCAAGCTCGCTGTGCCCTCTCGCGTAAGGCGCCTGCTTTGTTTGTCGTCGCTCACGTGTGAATGCCAGCCCCGCACGCACGGGGGCTGCAGCCCACCCGCGCGCTCGAGCAGGGTCGGGCACCCGGTCGCCTTGACCGGCCAGCGAGGTGCGTGCAGGGAGGCGAGGCGGATTTCGCGAGCAGCGCACGGCCTGATCTGATGGCCTCGAGCAGCGCATGGTCTGATCTGATGGCCTCATCCTCCCCCGCCTCCTCCTTCCTCCGCCTCCCTCCTTCTTTCCTCCTCCGCCAGCTCCTCCTCCTCCTCCTGCTCCTCCTCCTGCTCCTCCTCCTCCTCCTGCTCTCCCACCTGCAGCCTCTCCGCCTACTCCCTCTCCTCGCCCCTCTTTGCCCCCATCCTCCCCCGCACCTCAAGGATGAGGAGGATCAGGATCCGGATCAGGATCCGCATCAGGAGGCGGTGAGCAGGAGGACCCAGGAGGAGGAAAAGGAGAAGCAGGAGGAGGAGGAGGAAGAGGAATGAAAAAGAAAAAGGAGGAGGAGAACGAGGAGGAGGAGGAGGAGCCCGGATTTCGCAGGACGTGCGCTCGCGCATCGTGGGCGTGGTGCCCCAGCAGCCGGCCCTGTTCGAGGGCAGCCTGCGCTGGAACCTGGACCCGAAGGCTCCCCTGCTGCCTTCCCTCCGCCTTTCCTCCTCCTCCACCTCCTCCTCCTCCACCACCTCCTCCTCCTCCTCATCCTCCTCCTCCCCCTCCTCCTCCCTCTCCTCCTCCTCCTCCTCCTCCTCCCTCCTCCTCCTCCACCACCTCCTCCTCCCCTCCCCTCCTCCTCCTCTCCTCCTCTTCCTCCTCCTCCTCCTCCTCCTCCTCCTCCTCCTCCTCCTCCTCCTCCTCCTCCCTCCCTCCTCCTCCTCCTCCTCCTCCTCCTCCTCCTCCTCTCCTCCTCCTCCTCCTCCTCCTCCTCCTCCTCCTCCTCCTCCTCCTCCTCCCTCCCTCCTCCGCCTCCTCCCGTTCCTCCTCCTCCTCCTCCTCCTCCTCCTCCTCCTCCTCCATCTTCCTCCCTCCTCCGCCTCAGAGGAAGAGGAGGAGAGGGAGGAATCCGTCTGCTTCTTTTGCGCTCCTGCTGGACGGGCTCCCGCGACTTCCGGCCCACAGTCGGGCCGGCATCGCCTGGGGCTGGACCGTCCCTCGGCGCATCGCCCAGACGATCCAGACTCCTCGCTCGGAGGCCCAGTCTACTTCCAACGCCTTCCTGCTTCATGTTTCTATCCACTTCTTCCGATCGATGGGTACTCCAGACTTCGTAATAACAGGGAGGGGGTCTGGACCCTCCAAGACAAGCCATTTCAGACCTCCCCCGTGGGAGAACCCTCCAAAACATCGTCCCCAGACCCCCCAGGCCCTCCAAGATAGCCTTGAAGAGACCCCCCCGAAATGAGACACCCCTCCCTTTACTACGAAATCTGGAGTACCTTCTTGACGATCCTGGAGCTCGGAAGCGGCCTCCAGAGTCAGCACCACCGAGGCGGGTACCCAGCAACCGGGTACCTCGGCGGCGCGCAGACCGGCGACGGGAAAGTGACAGGAGAGCGTCAACTTCCTGCATCGATCTCAGAGTCCCCATGCGTATGTAGCACCCGTCAACGTGGCGCTGGCCAGACGCCGAAGGCTTGCCCGCCACGACTTCTTCTGCGGTGCCCCGACCTGTTGGCCCCCCCCTTCTCCTGGAGGGCGCGCAGTGGGGGGGGGCGGCACATGGCGGGGGGGGGCAGCCAGGGCTGCCGACAAAGGGGCCCCTCGGGGGGGCCCCTGAATGGGCCCCTTCGCGGCCAGAAGGGGGCCTTCGAGGGCCCGAGCAGGGCACCTCTCTTCCCCTCCCTCTTTGTCGCCAATAGCGCCCCCAATGCTCGCGGGCGCCGACGGAGGGGCACTGTGGCCCCAGGGGGAGGCGCAGCGGACAACCCCACTCGCCCATCGCTCGCCGACCGGGGGCCCCGATGCCCAACACCTGCCCGGCGGCGTGCAGGGCCTGCCATCGCCAGCCCGGCGCCGCTCCATCGGCGGTGCGTCGCCGATGCCAAGACAACGTCAAGGTCGGACCGAGGCATAGGATCGAAGTCGCTCCTGGGAGGGTGCCCTGAGGCACTTCGTGCCCTCTGGACGCTCTTGTGGAGAAGCCTGGGGAGGGTACCCCTCGGAGGTTGCGCGTGGTTTTGGGCCGTGGGAGGGTCTCGGGTTGTTGAATGGATGTTCTTCTGGCCGGGGCCCGACGGAACCGGTGATGCCTTGCCGTTCCAAGTCGCTGTAACCCCCCCTGAGCCAGCCCCCTCCTCACTCCCCGACATCTGACGATCTATTTGCAAAATACTGCTCATTGAACAATATTTTGAAACAATTCTGGACTCCTTCGCTGGCGCCGGTGTCCCGTCCCGGATATATCGGTCGTAGCCCAGGGGCCCATCGAACGGGCCACGGAGGCCGAAACGCCCCGATTGAACAAATGATTATGGTCGGAGGTTTGGGCTTGTCTTCCCCACTCGCCCAAGACCTGGATCCTTTAACCTAGACCCTCGCACCTGAATCCTCGAGCCTCCTGCCTAGATCCCCTCCTTCTCTTCGTCCTCCCCGTCCTCTTCATCACACTTGAATCATCGAGTCTCGATCCTCGGATCTTACCCTCGAGCCTCTCGCCTCCTCCTCCTCCTCTTCCTCCTCCTCCTCCTCCTCCTCCTCCTCCTTGTCGTTCCGCCTCACGCTCTTGGCCTGGACGGAGATTCACCTTGCCTCAAACGCCTTCCTAATTATTTGTTTTGCTTCTACCCGCCTCTTCCAGCCGATGGACGCTCCCCTTGGGCTGCCGGGCGGCTCTTCTCTCTGCGGACGATCAGGCCCTATTGTGATTCAGATTCTGGCAAGCTTGTCTGCCGTAGGTAAACTTCGGAGCCTAACGCCACCCCTCCCCCCCATGCCAGTAAACCTGCCCGAATCTACAGAAGGACGGGCATGGAGTGTCTGACGATGCAGTGGAAACCCATACCACGAAACGCCCTGCTTGCCTCCAGGGTGCCCTGGGTTTCCTTGGCATCGACGGTTTTGCTATGGAAAAAGCGTGACGCTCCCATGCCAACAATCAGTGGACATTCTGGGGTCTCAGGTTTGTTTTTCTCGTGGATGGTTTCTTGTGGTCGAGCTCGTACTGAACAGTCAACCCGCATAGTAAGGATGGGCAACCTTCCCCAGGGTACCCTTGCATCCTTGCCTCCTCGGCCATCCTCGGCCACTCTGGTTGGCCGCGCCCCGCTCGCAAAGTGCCGAAATGGCCTTCCAAGGTCCTTGCATCCTCATCCGCATCCTTACTATACAGGTTGACTGTACGGAAACGAGGGGTACAAAGTCCAGCAGCAGTTCCTGTTCCTCGCTCTCGGCGTCGCCGCGGTCGTTGCCCGTTCGAGACCGCAGCGGCCGTTCGAGAACTTGCATCCTCCTTCTGATACGGATTGACTGTGCTGTGTATGTCTAGGGGAACAAAAAGTGGCATAAACATAACAACTCGGAGGTCCGCGCGGACCTCCGAGTTGTTATGTTTATGTCATTTCTTGTTCCCCCAATGTCGCCCCCGCCTCCCCCCACCCCCCACCCCCCGCCCACCCGCACGCCGCTCAGGGGGGCTCTCCGCGGCTCGCGTTCCCCCGCGGGGAGCCTCCGCGGCTCCCCCCCGCCCCCCCCCCCCTCCCACAGGTCGGGCTCTTGTGCTCGCGACCGCGCCCTCTGGAGGTCTGGAGGAGGAGGAGGAGGAGGCTCCTCGCGCCGTTTTTAGACGGTCCTCGCAGGCGATTTGTCCCCCCCAGTCCCCAGTCCCCGAGCTCCGCCCGAACAGCTTGGCCGCCCAGAGAAAGTCTAGGCCTCCTAGATGGGGTCCGAGCAGATGGGGTCGGAGGATCGCGTCGCATCGCCGATGCATCGGCGATACGGCTCGATGCGGAGCCCGTGTTCCCCACGCCGACGTCGCCGATGCAACGCCGACGTCGCCGATGCATCGCCGTTACATCGGCGATGCATTTGCGATGCGGCGCGATCCTTCGTCCCCACCTACTCGGACCCCTTGTAGGAGGCCTTTAGAAAGGGAGAAACCCTAGGACACCCCCTTGTCGCGGATGGACGCGCCCCCATCGTACTTCCCAGGGTTGGGCCCAAAATGTTCGGTCCGTGCGAAAACCCCACGGAGCCTGGGACAGGGGTCGACATGCCCCTGTCAGGTACATCGGGATTCTTCCGCAAGAATATGTATACACACAGGCACCTTTCAATGGATTGTTCCTGGGTCTCAGGGAAAGGGTGGCGGTATATAAATCACTGCTGGGAGGCAGCGACTTTCTACACCGCCGCCCTCCCTGAAGGCACATGCATGCAAAGTTCGTCGAAAGGTGTCGGTGTACATATTGTGAAGGCCTTACGGCCGGCGCCGCCGACCCTGAAGGTTTTGGCCGTCGATGGCGACGGGATGTGTGATCACAGGAAGGAGCTAAAGGACAACGTGGCAGGGTAGGCGGAGGAAGTGTGTGAGGAGGAGGAGGAGGAGGAGGAGGAGGAGGAAGAGGAGGAGGAGGAGGATGAGGATGAGGAGGAGGAGGAGGAGGAGGAGGAGGAGGAGGAGGAGGAGGAGGAGGAGGTGTCGGTGTATATATTTTCGCTGTGCACGTGGGATCCCTCCGAGCAAACGCCCAAAGGCCGCCCGGCGTGCTGCTTTCGCGACGCGAGGGGGCCTGGAATCCCCCCCCCGGTCGTTCTGCCTCGCCCTCCCGGGCCCAGCGGCCCCCGCACCCCTGCTTGTCAGGCTCTCCCTCCCTGGTTCTCAAGCTCCTTCGAGGCCGATGTCCGCCCCATTTTGCCGTCGCTGTTCCCGCAAGGATTTCGCGGGGATCTCCGCCCCCCCTGTCTGAGGCGGAAGCTTCCGCCCTGCTTTTCCGCACCGCTTGGGGTGTGCACCTCCGACGCAGCTTCCTTCTAGAAGTCGGAAGATCCGCCAGAGTACGGCGGATCCGAAGTCAGGGACGTGTCCGACGATCTGCGTCGTTCCTCCGCGCCTTTGGGGCACTGAGGCCTCCGATGTCCCAGAACCGTGCGGGTGGCGGGCCACGCAGTGAGGTCGGCGGGGACTCCGACATCACCACGCGGCGGCCGCACGGTTCTGTGGCCCCGAACCTTCTCGACGCGAAGAGCAACCACCACATGTCCGACGAGATGTATGTGTACTCGTGACGATGCTGTACACGAACTCTGGAGTACAGCATCAGGGCGACTGTGTCTCCTTATTGTCCGGAAGGAAGCGGACCTGCAGGGAGACCGTCGTGTACAGCTCGGGTGAGAGATGTCGGATGGATTCGCCCGCCTGGTCTTCGATCCTCTGACCCAGACAATCCTCTTCAAAAAATGGAACAGTCTTTCGTGTGCCGAGTGCAACTGATCTTCCTGCATGCAGTGTCTCGGGCCCACGCCGGTCCCCCGCGCCCCAGGGCCTCCACGCCGACGCCGAGATGTGGGACGCGCTCCAGGCCGTCGGTCTGCGGGGCGTCTGCAGCGAGCTCGGTCTGGGCGCGGACGTAACCACGGGCGGCCCCGGGAGGGGGGGGGGGGCGGCGGCGGCGGCGGCGGAGCCTCAGGAGGAGGAGCCTCCAGGGGATGGCCAGGAGGAGCTTCCTCCTCCTCCTCCTCGTCCTCCTCCTCCTCCTCGTACTCCTCCTCGTCCTTCTCCTCCTCCTCCTCCTCCTCCTCCTCCTCCTCCTCCGTCTCATCCACCCACTCCTCCTCCTCCTCCTCCTCCTCCTCCTCCTCCTCTCCTCCTCCTCCTCCTCCTCCTCCTCCTCCTCCTTCTCATCCTCCTCCTCCTCCTCTACTCCTCCTTCTCCTCCTACTCTGCTTTCTCCTCTGGGGCGATGGAGATCAGCACGGAATGTTTGGGTCCTGAGGGAAACGGGCCCCCGAGTTTTGTCTCGCCGGTCCAGGATCCCTTGGGGCCCCTGGGGGGCCGTTCCCGTGGGCCACCTCGCACGCAGGAAAAGGGTCCGCGGGGGGGGGGCGGCGGGCCCGGGAGGGGGACCACAGCGATCGGAGTGGGCACGGGAGGCAAGGGGACGGAAATCAACAGTCGAGGGAGAAGTGCCGGCCAAACCATAATTTTCGGAGTTCATCGGGCAGGTGGTAATGGGAGGTGATCCACGTGGAGCCTCTTTAAGGCTCTTTTCTTCACCCCCCACTTGGGTCACCCCCCATTACCACCTGCCCGAGCTTCCCACCGAACGCTCCTAACCGCACTCGGACCCCACCCAGGAGGCCTCTGGTTTGTTCGGATGCAGCTCCTGGGAGGTACGATTCCGAAATCCTGCCTTACTCAGGCTTATGCCCGCTTAATCCAGCTTCATCCAGCTTAATCCCGATTGATTCCGCGCAATCCGCGGCCCTCTGGCGTAGCAGCCCCCCAATGGTGTTTCATCCTCCCGAATCCTTTCGGACGGAGCTAGGACGAGGATGAATCCGTTCCAGAGCGTTTCGGAACGCTCTCATAGCGTTCCTGAGCGCCTCCAGAGCCGCCAGATCTCAGATATTATCGGCATATCCTCACCCGAAGTGATCCTCGTCCTGGCTTCGTCTTATCCTTCCGGGAAGACCTCCCAGTAGTTTCCTCCTAAGGTTTGGGCTGTCCAGATCTTCGTTTCAAGGCGCCATTATCGCATAGCGGATTTCGCTCGGAAAGCAATGGGATGGGCCCGGACTGCCCTGGAGAATTCGCGCGGATTCGTTTGACCAGGAACGAAGACTGGTTGCAAAAGACCCACGTGAGATGAGTTTCGTGTTCCGCTCGCCGTCGCGGGGCTTCCCATTGACAGGCATCCGCGCAGAAATCCGCTGCAGCACGTCGGCAAGGTCGGCGCGGTGCCTCGCCCAGCCCGCCCCGCCCTGCCCGCCCAGCCTAATTACTCTCCCCGCGCTGGCGCGCTTGCTCCAGCATATCGCCCCCTTCTCCCTGCCCCTCGCGCCCTTCCCTGTCCTTCCCCCTGCCTCCCGGGCCTCCTCCCTCCCGTTCCCACCCATCTCTGCCCTCCCCCCTTCTCTCCCTGCCCCTTCTCCGAGGCGGGCATCTATGCATGACCACCGCCTGGAGGGCCAGTTTTCGGAGCCTCGGCAGGCGGTGGGTGTGGACGTGTTCGGGCCCCCGGGGGCCGAAACATATCCACATCCACCGCCCGCTGGGGCACCAGGACGCCGGTTCCCAGGCGGTGGATCTGGAGAAATCCCCGCCTCGCCCCTTCTCTCCCTCCCCTTCCCCCCCCCCCCTGGCGGCGGGCAGGCGGTGGATCTGGATGAATCCCCGCCTCGCCCCTTCTCTCCCTCCCCTTCCCCCCCCCCCCCCTGGCGGCGGGCAGGCGGCGGGCAGGCGGCGGGCAGGCTGGCGCTCTCCCAGGGCCAGCGGCAGCTGCTCTGCGCCGCGCGCGCCCTGCTCCGCAGGCGGGCGCGGCCCCCACTCGGGGGGGGGGGGGGGCGTCAAGACAGTCGACGCGGAGTCAGCAGCTGGCCCTTGGGAGGAGGAGGAGGAGGAGGAGGAGGAGGAGGAGGAAGAGGAGGAGGAGGAGGAGGAGGAGGAGGAGGAGGAGGAGGAGGGGGATGAGGAGGAGGAGGAGGAGGAGGAGGAAGAGGAGGAGGAGGAGGAGGAGGCGGAGGAGGAGGGAGGGGCGGGGGGGGCCAGGAGGCCACATGCGCACCCTGCCCCCCCCCCTCACCACGATTTCTGAGGTGAAGTCGGGCCTGTCCCTCTACAGGATCTGAGGTCGATAGACTCCTACTCGGAGGTTGATAGACCTCCAACGTAGCCGACAAATGCCCAAAAAGTCGTCTCCGCCGTACTATTGTTTGACTGTTTCTGGGTATTCCCTTTGTAGAGGGACACGCCCGACTCAAGCCTCGGTTGACCACGTTTCGGAGGTTGATCGACCTCCTACCCTGACACGTCGATCAGCGAATTGGCCGTTTTCGGTTCGCGAGAGGGCGTCGCGGCCGTCATTTTTGCGGGTCCAGGTCCGTCGGTTTCGGTCCTAGGCTGTTTTTACTACGTCCCTGTTGACAATGGCTCACCCGAGAAACCGTTTCTTGTGCAGGAAGTCCTGAGCGGTCTGCCCATCGGCGGCTCCTTCGGACGAGGCCCTGAACCACCGAGAAACCGTTTTGATAGGAAAGTCTAGGCGGTTTGCCCATGTTCGGCTTCTTCGGAGTGGGCCCGAAGACCTCGAGAACGATGTTGTTGCAAGGAGTCCTAAGCGGATTGCACATTCTCGGGTCGTTCGAACTGGCCCCGATTTTTTTTTTGCACAAATCATATGGGATTCGATATACTGCAGGTCGGCTGGTAAACTTTTCGGGTCGTCGCATGCGACGACCCGAAAAGTTTACCGGCTGCCGTTTGCTCATTGTCGGGTCAGTAAACCGAGGAAATCCTATGCCGTTTGCTCATTTTCGGGACAGTACACCGCTTGGGATATAACATTTTAAATTCGGAAGGGGGACCCGATCCCGCGACCCCGGGCGGGGTGTAGGCTCTGCCCTTGCATTGTACTGGGCCCCTCCGGCCAAACGGGGCGCTGGGCTGCCCATCGGCGCGCCGACTCTGCCTTCGCGAAATTGTCCCCATCCGCCCTCGGGCCCCGCGAGTCTTATCCTGCGCGCGCCATCGATGTCCGCGGCGAGCACGGTGGCGAAATTGAGGAAACTTTCGGATCGGCGCAGTAATGAGGAAACTCCTGGGGTCCTCGCGCGGCGCGTAATAGTAGTATGATCTAGTCCACACGTCAGTTCCGTAAGCTGCGGGTCGACGTGTTCCGGAGTCACTCCGAAACAGAAGCAAATCCGACGTAGATCCGACGTAAATCCGACGTGGACCCGACGTAAATCCGACGTGGATCCGACGTAAATCGGGTCCCAAGTTGCCGCGCAAGGCTTCCAGGCTGTTCCTTAGGACCTTTTCTATCGCACTTTTGGAGCAATCTGGCATATCGTCCGTGGCAAATCATGGGAACCTGGAATACCTGCTTAATTCTGTTTTGGGCGTCGGTTCGCGCCGATTCGCGTTTGGGAACCGATCAGATATCGCCGATTTAGCATCGGTTAGCTTCGATTCAGGCTCGACGAGCGTCCATTTAGCGTCGACGAGCGTCGATTCGCAAAAGCCGACAAGATGGTATGGGAGGTTCCCATGTGTTGCCACCGAAATTTGGGTGGCAAATTTACTCCTGCGTCCACGTTTCGTTCGCGTTCCTGAAGCATTCTGGCATGTCCATCTGCAACGAGGACGGGGCACTGAGCACGTGTTGCTGAACAGGAACCGGATGGCACCGCCAAGCGGCTACGAGTGGCTTGCTCCGACGGGAAGATGCCGCAGAACACGGCCCGCTTCATGCGGGCACCGTGTCATTGCCAGACTTCGCGTAGAGTTGCATGTGGCCCACGGAGCAAGGCAAATGAGCTCGGTTTCCGTATTGGTTGCGTGAGTCACGCAATCGGGTGGAGGATACAGCATGGGACAAGTTCAAAGTCATTGACCGGTCGATCGCCAATTTCCTCGCGTTGGGCCATTTGCCTGCGACAACCATGGCCTGGACAGTTCGCGGCGATCGTCACCATTGATTGCCGTTTCGCATGCGGTGATGCAAAAACGCCACGTAAGTGTCAACAACATCCAGGGGCAGTATATTTGGCCTGATTATGGACTGAGAGTGGCAGGCAGCGTTGTTCGGATAGGCCTGCTATGCTGGTATCAGACCTGCTTGTAGCACATCGTTATGCTGCTGCCCCGATTTCAGTTACAAGCCATGATGCGCACGTGCGTAACACAGGACTGGTGGCGATGTTTGGCGATGCCTGCGGCAGCAGCAAGTCTTCACGCTTCGCGTATCCCCACCAGCTTTCTGACGGCGTGCGGCTCTTCCGCAACGCTTGCGAACAAAAACGTATCCCCACCAGCTTTCTGGCCACTGCTACTTCGCAGTTCCCTGACAGCGCATGGCACCCCTGCGCGCTCGCGAACAAAACGTATCCCCAGCAGCCGCTCGGGGTACCCGCGGTGGTGGCGCTCTGCACTCTTGCACGGCTTTGTCGTGCCGGTTATTCCACTGCCTCTGGGTCTTGGCGAGCAGGGCGCCTTGACGGCTGGTCGCGTTGCTTGGCCGTTGCCTTATGCTTCCCGTCCTGGGGCATCGCTGGTCGTCCACATCTGCGCGAAGGGGTCGCGCCTTTGATGTGTATGCCCCCGTGCCTGGCTGCATCGCCCGTCGGACGTTCTCTGACGGTCTTTTCCCCGGTCCTCTTTTTTTGTACGCGGAGTTGGACATCGCCCTCATGGGGCCTCGAGGTCGTTTCCCTCTCGGCATATCGCTCGGTCCCCCTCTCAACGCTCATCTGTTCGGCAAGGTTTGCGGGGCACTGGACCGCCGCCCGCGTCTCCGCCCTTCTGGGTAAGAGGGGCGTTTGTTTCATCTCTCGCCTCCGTCAGGGCCCGCGCGTTCGGGAAGGCTACATGGGGGGTACCTCGGGTTGCCGCCACCGCCATCTCAGCGCAGCGCGCGCGTCACTACATCCTCGCTGGGTTCACTGTTCGGCTTCCTGTTCGGCACCCACCTCGCGTTCCTGGTGCCGCTCCGCCACTTCGCCCCATTCTGGCCGCGCTGAGTCTCTCTTCGCGCCAGGCGTCGTTAATCGTTTGTTTTTCCTTTTCGCAGGTGGCACAGCCTGCCCCGGCTTGCCAGGCGCCCGACCCGTTTCGCGCGCCTGCGAACCAACAAGTATCCCCACCTGCCCATTCAAAAACCCTGCCCATGAGAGTGGACGGGAAGAGGGACGAAGAGACGCAGGCAATGATGCAAAGCTGGCAAGCACGGGGGACAGAGATTTCTGGTAACACGTAGATGGCTTTGGAGGACATCCTCGGGCCATCCCTGGGGTCCGCGTTGGGGCGAGGGGTGCAGGGGGAAAATCAGGAAGAGGATGAGGAGGACGAGGAGGGGGAGGAGGAGGAGGAGGAGGAGGAGGAGGAGGAGGAGGAGGAGGAGGAAGAGGAGGAGGAGGAGGAGGAGGAGGAGGGGAGGAAGGCGACGACGACGATCACCACGACATGGAGGAAGAGGAGGAAAAGGAAAACGAAGACGATTTGGGCAAGGATGAGGACGTGGACGTGGACAGAACCCTCAATCTCGCCTCTTGGAGCATTCTTGGGACTCTTTTGGGGGAGCTTCGAGTCTTCTTGGGGCTTTTTTGGGAGGTCTTCCAGCCCTCTTGGGGTCACTGGGGCCCTGACGGGCCTTTTGGGGCCATCTTGGAGGCTATCGATCAAAAGGGGGCGTCCTCGATGTCTTCTCCCCCCCCCCACCCCCCACTGGGGCAATCCAGATCGCCTCTTGGGGCGCTCTTGGGGCGGCGCTCTTGGGCCCCTCTTGGGCGCTTTGGGGCCGTTTGGGGGGCCTCTTGGGCCACTATCGGGCCTCGGTTGGGCCATATTGGAGCCATCTTGTGGTCTCAAAGGCGCATCGAAAGCGAAACGGCGAGAAGGGAAACATCATAGATTTTCCGTAGGTGTTTGAAGGATTTGGGTTTCTTGGTGGGGGTCCTGAGGGGGCTCCGACAGCACTTGGGACCTTTTTGTGGCCCTCGCCAGGCCTCTTGGAGCTATGTCGGAAGCTATATTGAACCAGGACCGGCTATCTTGACCTATCTTGGAGGCCATCTTGGAGCATCGGAGGCCGTGTGGGAGCCATCTTGGGCCGTCTATGGCGCTCGGACCGATTGTCCTTCCCCCCAAGAAAACCAAGGAACGGGTTCTTGGAGGAGTAAGGAAGTTCGTGAGGCCACCTGGGCCCAAAGGGCTGGTGGGAGTTCTTCCACCGTGCTGGCTTTCACTGTGCTGGCGGAGGCGTGATCACAAATGATGGGGGTGTGTTTCATTGAAGAAAAAGGGCTGGCGGGAGGTCTTGTTGAGTTCTCCACCCCTCTCATCCTCGTCCTCAGCTGGCACGCTCCAGAAGAGGGGCCTGGCCTTCGATGCGTGGGGCCCTCCGCGGAAGGCTGGCGGAAGCCAGCGGGCGTACAAACGGGGGTAGGCCTGGCAGTGGAAAGTGGCGGAAAGCGGCGGAATTCGACGGGGCTGGGACGAGGACAAATCCGTTCCAGAGCGTTCCGGAACGCTCTCGGAGCGTTCCAGGGCGCTCTGAACAGGCTGCGGCGCTCGAGACATCCTCCAGAGCCGCCGGATCTCAGAGATTCCCGGATTATCCGGACCTGAGGTTCTATCCTCGTCTTGTCGGGGGCGGCAACGAGGGGGGTGATGGCTAGGGTGGGGGGATATCATGGCGTGGGCCATGATATTCCCTCATATTTCGTGGTGCCTCTTCGTATTTAATCGCTTCACTCATTCCACCGGCTCATATTGCGAGAATGAGGAGGAGAAAGGTGGATGAGCATGATGAGGAGGCCTCTCGATGGCTTCCTGAAGCATTGTGGGGCCAAACTTGGTCGTGGAGAAGGTGCCTCCGTGGGGCCTCTTGGGAGCCTCTTCGAAGCTTCTTGGGAGCCTCTGGGGGGCCTCTTGGGGCCTCTTGTTGGCCTTCAGGGGGCCTCCGTGGCTCTCTTGAAGGCGTGTTGACGGCCTCTTGGAGCCTCCTGGGGACCTCTCCGGGCCAACAGCTCGACATGTCCGTTCGGGTGCCCCGTCTGGGCTCGCTGTTATGTAGAGCCGTCTTGGAGGCGTCTTGGACCATCTTCGAGGTCTCTTGGACTGTCTTGGGGCCCTCTTAGGCTCTCTTGGGCTTATCTTGGTGGTTTGTTGGGCCGTCGTGGGGCGATCTTGGGGGCCTCTTGGGCACGTTAGGACGCTGTGAACCCCAGACGTCGTATATGCGAAAGATGTACGTTTCCCCTAGGGAGTGAGACGATTTTTGCTTGTTGGAGCCCTCTTGGAGAGCCTCTTGAGGCTCTCTTGGGGCTTCTCGGCGGCCTCGCGGATCGTATGAAGGCCATCTTGGGCGTCTTGGACGGCTCGCTCGGTGACTCTTAGCGCTTTTGGGCTGTCTTGGAGGCCTCTTGGGGCCCTCTTGGCGTTCTCTGGGGGGCCTCAGAGACCGCACCCAGGAGGAAAACCATCTCTGAGTAGCAGTTGCCGGGCTGCGGTCGGGCGGCGGTCGGGATACTTTTCGCCGGGGGACCCCCAGGGGCCGCCCCTCGCGCGCGAACTAGAAATATTGTTAACCAGTTACCGCAGATCGTAGCACGCCTCTGGCCCGTTGGGCCGGCGAATGTCATTACATCCCTGAGTCCGCCCCTGGGCCGTGCTCATGCCGCCAGCCATGATTTGCACCCCCCCTTCTTGGACGCCCCCGATCTTGGTTTCGTCCAAGGACATGGAAGTTTGTCGTTCACGTTGTTGTTGGATCCAAGGCTTCTGGAGTCGGCCATCTTTCCTCGCCTCCTTTCGGGGAAACGCAAGACCCGAGTAAGCCGGAACTCGGGTCTGCTGACGTTTTTTTGACGAGCGCGTCCTGGATTTTGACGGTCCAGTTTTTTCGTGGGATGTCTGCAGCGGGAGCCCGCGTCAGATTTCAGATTGGGCCTCGTCACCTCTTATGGTGGCCCCGTCGGGCCAACCCGAGTCCCCCGTACCCGAGTCTTACTCAGGAGGGGAAAAACACACAGACACAATGAATCGTCGATTCCCAAGAAAATATGGGAAAATGTGGGGATTGGGGGGGAAGACAAAAACCCAGAAAATATGGGAAAACATGGGATATCTTTGTATTTGTGTGTATTTATCTGTGTGTCCTGGGGCCCCTTTCACGTACGTCTCCCCGATCCTTCGCATGCCGATCGTCCTCCTCTCCTGCTGGCCGCTCGGAGAGGGAGGAGCGAGGGGGTGCCCTGCGCGGCGGGGGGCCCCCGCGGGGAGGCCGCGCGTCGTGCTGCTGGACGAGGTGTCGGCGTCGCTGCCCTCGGAGGCGGGGCTCCGCCGGCGTCCCGCGCGGGGGCAGCGGAGGGGCGAGCGAGTCCGCGGGAGGCACGGGGCGGCGAGCGGCAGCAGGCCGCCGTGGGGTGCGGGGGCGGGTGGCGGCAGGGGAGACTCGGGAGGGAACAAAAACACACACACAGACACGATGAATCGTCGCTTCCAAGGAAAATATATGGGAAACTATAGGAGAAGTGGGGGGGGGAGGACAGAAAACAGAAAATATATGGGAAAAGATGGGGAATCCTTTTGCTTGTGTGTATTTACTTATGTGTCCAAGGGCCCCTTCAGAGACGGTGCGTGGCGCACTCCCAGAGCACCCGCGGCGGAGCGGAGTTCTAGATGGCGTCAGGGGTCTTCTCTGCCCTCCCTCCCCCCCTCCCTCCCCCCCCAGCTCGATCCTCGGCCGTCGATCCTCGCTCATCCATCCTCGATCCTCGATCCTGGACCCTCCACGATCCTCGATCCTCCGCGATCCTCGAGCCTTAGCCTTCGATCCCCGACCCTCCCTGTTCGATACTTTCCATCCGCATCCTCCGCGCGCCCCCGCGTCTCCAGCGGAGGCCCCCTCCCAGAGGTCCTCCGAGGTCTTTTGAGAGGTCCCCGGAGGCCTCCGGAGGATCCGCAGCCTTGATAGATGGACAAGAATCCCTAAGGGCTTGACGACGTTTCGCCAACCGACTTGTGGGGACCGAGGCAGATGAGTCAAGGCGAATGCAGAGACATCGAAACACATCCAGGCAGCTCGCGTTCAAGCCAAGTGAACCCAGAGCTCTCCAGGGAAGGTTGGAGCAGCTCGTGGGCGCTATCAGCGCGAGTCCAGGGACAGCAGGAGTCGTTCGGCCCTGAACGAAGGAGCTCGTCGAGTTGCTCCGAGTCGGCGCTCGGCTCGATCAGTCCTCGGGACGCGTGCTCGCCCGCGCGTGTGCTTACGGTCGGACTTGATTGGCGAGGACCCGCGAGAGGACACGAGACCCTTCCGGGGGCCACGCTGCCACAGAGATGCAGGAGGCATGGGCCGCAAGACGGGGTCCTGTGTGTTGCAACGACCCTGTCGGACAGGAGCTGGGTCCCGTGTCTGACAAAGGGTACCCTCGTGTACCCTCGTGCACCCTTGCTGCCGCAGAACTGCAGGAGGCATGGGTCGCAAGACGGGGTCCCGTGTGCTGTAACGACCCTGTCTGACAGGATCTGGGTCCTGTGTCTGACAAGGGTACCCTCGTGTACCCTCGTGTACCCCTTGCTGCCGCAGGCATGCAGGAGGCATGGGTCGCAAGACGGGGTCCTGTGTGTTGCAACGACCCTGCCTGACAGGATCTGGGCCCTGTGTCTGACAAGGGGTACCCTCGTGTACCCTCGTGTACCCCTTGTTACCACAGACATGCAGGAGGCATGGGTCGCAAGACGGGGTCCTGTGTGTTGCAACGACCCTGCCTGACAGGATCTGGGTCATGGTGTCTGACAAGGGGTACCCTCGTGCACCCTTGTTGCCACAGAAATGCAGGAGGCATGGGTCCAAAGACAGGGTCCTGTGTGTTGCAACGACCCTGTGATCTGGGTCCTGTGTCTGACAAGGGTACCCTCGTGTACCCTCGTGTACCCCTTGTTGCCACAGAAATGCAGGAGGGCACCCTTGATTTGGCAGGGTCGACCTACTTTTAAGTCGGGCGTGTGCCCCTACAGGGGGATCTTCGACGAACAATACAGAAGACCAACAATAATAACAAAATGCTCCAAACATAGTCTGGGGTCTATTTCTTGAGCGTTTCTTCACCTTCTTGAGGTATTTTGGGGGTATTTGTTTTTATTGTTCGGCGAAAATCCCCCTGTAGGGGGACACGCCCGACAACAGGGTGCCCTCGTGCACCCTCGTGTAAATTTCTTGCCGCAGAAAAGCTCAGGAGGGTCCCTTCTGTACCCCCTCCATACCCTTGATCCGGCAGGGTCTCTCTGTGTCCCGGGGCCCCTTCCATACGGTAGGTTTGCGTCGTGTCGACCCGCGGCGACCCCAGCGCGGGCGTTCAAGGTTGAACGCCGCCGGCGACCCAGAATCGATCGATGTTGAACGATCGGACGTTGCGGCAGCGGCCGATCGTTCAAGGTTGAACGATCCACGCGGAGTCAAAAACCAACGCCGAAGTCGGCACGACACAGACCTGCCGTACTTGATCCGGCAGGGCCGACCTGCTCATCCGGGCCGCCCGTCGTGGCCCCCTCCCGGCTCCGCCCGCGGAGAGCGCCGCCCCGTGCCGGCCCGCGCGCTGCCGCCCCGCGTCGCACCGAAAGGGCCTCGGCGTAGGTCGGGCACGTGCCCCCCTGCAGGCGGAGCTTGGACGAAGGATCAAAGATGCGAAGAAACAGATTCCAGCATAGGCGACGAATGCCAAAAAAGATCGTCCCCGTGTTATCGGGGGTGGACAGAAGCCCCAGCAGTGGGACGTCGATTCGTGAATTGTCCGTTTGCGGTTCTCGAGAGGGCGCCGTGGCCGTCATTTTCCAGGCCTGCGCCCGCCAGGTTTGGGCCTCAGGTCGTTTCCACTAAACCACGTTTTACTAAAGGGGGGCCTGTCCATCCCCGATATTATTCTTTGACTATTTCTGGATATCCCCCCTGCAGAGGGACAGGCCCGACTTGAGCCTCGGTTGACAAGCGCACGTTTCGGAGGTTGATGGACCTCCTACCCTGACACGTCGATCAGCGAATCGGCCATTTTCGGTTCGCGAGAGGGCGTCGCGGCCATCATTTTTGCGGGTCCAGGTCCGTCGGTTTCGGTCCGAGGCCGTTTTCATTAGAGGGTGGTTTATTAAGGGGAGGTTTGTCCACCGCCGAACGTTGGCGCCAACTTTTTTTACGTCGGCGGCGAGGCAGACGTGCAGCTCCAGCGGGCGGCGATCTGGGGCGACCGATACGCGAATTGGCCGGCGTGCAAGAGGGGGCAACAGCGGGACGAGTCGGCCGCGGAGGAGAGGAGGAGGAGGAGGAGGAGGAGGAGGAGGAGGAGGGCACTCAGACGCGGCAGACTTCCACGTTGGCGCCAACACACGTTCTGAGGATCATCGAGAGGCAGCCTGCCGCGAGTTCGACGCCGCGAAACGACTGCGACGTGGTGAGAACGCGTGGCCGGAGCCCTGCACCCCGGCCTTTGCACGCTGTCTCGGGCCGTACTGGTCTGCTCCAGGCCTCCAGGGTGGGGTCCGAGCAGATGGGGGTCGGAGGATCGCGCCGATGGTCGCCGCTGCACCGGCGACGCGGCTCGATGCGGAGCCCATGCCCATCTGCTCGGACCCCGCGGTGGAGGTCTCGATTTGTGAGGGCCCCGGGCCCCTAGCTTTCAGTCGGGCCCGTCTCTTGACGGGAGGAATATATTCAAACACAGTTTCAACGTAGTCTGGGGCCTACTTTTTGAGTGTTTGCTTCTCCATCTGGGAGCATGTTTGGTGCATTTTTCATTTTTCGTCGCAAAATCCCCCCGTCGGGGGACACGCCCGACTTACCCCTGGCTCTGGCGAACGGCTTCCGGTGCGGAGCACAAAAAAGGGGGCGACGCGCGGATCTGCGGGCCTCCCCTGCCGCCTCTCGGCGGCGCGCTCTACCATCAGGAGGGGAAAAAACACACAGACACAATTAATCGTCGATCCCCCAAAAAATATTGAAAATATGGGAAGTGGGGGGACGAGAGAAACCCAGAAAATATGGGGAATCTTGTTATTTGTGTCTATTCATTTGGGTGTCCCAGTTCCCCTGCATCGCTTCCCCCCTCGCAGGAAGGAGAGCGAGAGCAACATCTGGGAAGCCAGAAGGCAGGAGGGCTTCTGGAGGAGCCCCGCCGCCTTCTGAGAAGGCCCGCCCCCGCTCACTTCCCTCCTCGCAGGAAGGACAGTCAGAGGTTGAACATCTGGGAAGCGGGGGACGACGAAAAGCCAGAGCGTATGGGGAAATAGAAGGCAGGAGGGCTTCTGGAGGAGCCCCGCCGCCTTCTGAGAAGGCCCGCCCCCGCTCGCTTCCCCCCTCGCAGGAGGGAAAATGAGAGGGACATCTGGGAAGCCAGAGCGTATGGGAAGAATAGAGAGGGGGAGGATCTTGGCGCGTCCCCGGGCCGCTCTCCCCCTCGCAGGAGGGAAAGTGAGAGGGGAAATCTGGGAGGCCAGAGCGTATGGGAAGATAGAGAGGGGGAGGATCTTGGCGTGTCCCTGGGCCCCTCTCCCCCTCGGCGCGCACCTCCCCCCTCCAGTTGGCCACCAGCACCGTGGAGACCCTGCTGGACCGCTTCAAGCAGCGCGGGGCGGCCGTGCTCCTGGTGACCCACCAGGAGGAGCTGCTGCCGCTCTGCGACCGGGTGGTCACCGTGGCAGGCGCCGCCTCGGCGGAAGCGGCCCGCGAGCGGCCGCCGCAGGGATCGCACGCCATTGAGGGGGGAGGAAAGGGGAAAGAAGTCCAATATCCGCCATTGCCCCAGGGGGGCCCCTCGGAGTGGACCTTTGTCAACCAAAGGCAGGAAGGCCAAAGACCCGCCCAAGGTCCGCGACAGGGCCCCCCTGGGGTACATTTCAGCAGTCAGACAGTTCGTCTGCGAGCGAGGGGGCCTGCGGCATTCTCATCTGGCCGGCAGTAGATCGCAGTAAGTCTCGACATGGGGGGGGCCGTGGACCCCCATGTTCCTGCGGCATTTTCGGGCCGGCTCGACCGTGAGGGTCCTCGGGTCCGAAGCAGGGCAGAATCGCCTGCTGTGAACAGAACGCGACACCAGGATCTCAGGATCTCTCCTCCTGAGTGCCGACCTCGTCCTCGTCCTCTTCCGTTCGGCGGCGAGCGAGGGGCGGAA